CTTAAAGAGATATCTCAATGTAATTCACATCAGAGTAAAGCTGAGGTATCCTTCTTTTAAGATTAAGACACTTTATTGCGAAACACCGATTACTTTAGAAGATGTGGAATATAGAATGTGGTTACCCAAAAATGTCCAAAATTTGCTTAAATTCAACAATTGCTGTAACGTCGATATATCTCGGGAACTTAAAGAGATATCTCAATGTAATTCACATCAGAGTAAAGCTGAGATATCCTCCTTTCAAGATCGAGTCATTTTATTGCGTAGTACCGATTACTTTAGAAGATGTGGAATCTAGAAAGTGGTTACCCAAAAATGTCCAAAATTTGCTTAAATTAAACAATTGCTTTAACGTCGATATATCTCGGGAACTTAAAGAGTTATCTCAATGCAATTCACATCAGAGTAAAGCTGAGGTATCCTTCTTTTATGATTAAGTAATTTTATTGCGAAACACCGATTACTTTATAAGATGTGGAATCTAGAATGTTGTTACCCAGAAATGTCCAAAATTTGGATAAGTTCCAAAATTGTTTTAACTTTGCCATAACTCGGGAACATAAAGAGTTACTTCAATTTTCATTTACATTTTCGTAGAGCTAAGACATTATTTTTTTCCAGACCAAGGTATTTCATTGCAAAAACCCGATTACTTTAGAAGTTGTGGTGTCTATAATATGGTTACCAATAATTGTCAATAATTTGGTTCAGTTCAACAAATATGTTAACTTTACCGTATCTTCGGAACATAAAGAGTTATATCAATGCAATTTTCATATATATAAAGCTGAGGTATCCTTCTTCCACGATTAGATCACTTCATTGCGAAACACCAATTACTTTAGAAGTTGTGATGTCTTGAATGTGGTTACCCAAAAATGTCCAAATTTTCGGTACATTGTCAATTGTCTTAACGTTGCCATATCTCGGGGACATAAAGAGTTATTTAAATTTTATTTAATCATTGTAAAGCTGAAATATCCTCCTTTCAAGAACTAAGGTTCTGCTAGTCCTAATAAAAAAGGAAATACATTAAAATTTATCGTTTCCCCTAAAATTTATACTAAAATAAGACATCTTCTTCATCTCTACATTTGATGGAACAAAAATTCTCGGATTAGGATCCTCTTCCAAAGGTTTTCGCAAATTATTTGGCTCGGATAGTCCTATTAAAAGAGGAAATGTTATGGAATATTTGCTTAAAATTTTCACTAAAATTTGACGTCTTTTTCAACTCTACATTTGATCGAATAAATAAAAAATTCTCGGTTCAGGATATTCTTCCAAAAGTTTTAATCATTGTAAAGCTGAGATATCCTCCTTTCTAGAACTAAGGCTCTGCTAGTCCTATTAAAAAAGGATATACATTAAAATTTATCGCTTCCCCTAAAATTTATACTAAAATAAGACATCTTCTTCAACTCTACATTTGATAGAACAAATATTCTCGGCCTAGGTCATTTTTCGAAAGCCTTAGCAGCCAGGGTGACCCACACCGCCTTAGGTCATCCATTTTAAATTTTCATGGTGCTCAACCACGAGCACCAATATCCGCCTGGTTTTTATCTGTACGTCAGTCTTCTTCGTTGCAGATTTTTTTAAGTACGGAAAATAAGTCATCATCGTCATCATGTATAGTGGCGAGATCCTACACAAATTTATTCGACTCGTTTATAAATCCACGCACCTGTATTACAGTCTCAGGAGGGTAGCCACAAGTTCACCTTTATTTTAAGGGAGGTAAGTATTTTTTCTACCCTCAGCCATATGGCTAGAGAGGGTATATATGACATTTGATACGGTCAAAACGTGCCTAGTCGAAATAACGGTTTTAGAATCTAGGTTTCTTTGGACCAAATCCGTTTCAGAACATTTGGAGTCGATCTAACGATGTCCGTCCGTCAGTTTGTCTGGCTGAAGCGCACGATAACTCTCAAAGGGAGTATCCGATTTGATCCAAACTTGGTACATCGTAATATTATTGTCAAACTTAGATCGAGTTCGGAGATGGGCAATATCGGTCCACTCCTTCTGGTACCTTCCGCACAATAGGTCGAAATTTTCAAAAAATATATATTATGCACAGAAAGAGAAAGGATTATCCGATTTTGTTCTAACTTTGCATATCCTAATATTTGCGTCAGTGCTACGTCAGGTGCGAAAATGGACAATATCGGCCCACTCCATCAAGTACCTCCCACACAAACGGTCAACATTTAGAATAATTACAACTCTCATAAAATGTGATGTAAGAGTCCGATTGTCTTCAAATTACACATATCCCAATATTTTTATTAACACAAGGTCTGGTGTTAAGAGGCAATACATCTGTCCACTCCTTCTGGTACCTCCCACACAAAGGGTCAAAATTTTGAATATCTATGAAGCTCCCTAAAACACGAAATTAACATTCGATTCCATTCAGTCTTGGCACATCTTAATATTTTCATCAATACAAGATCTGCCATAAAGATGGAAGAGATCGGACCGTTTGTTCTGACACCTCCCCCACAAAGGGTCCGAATTTTGAGAAACCAAAACGATTATAAAATCGGAAATAAACATCCGGTTCTCTTCAAATTTCTCATATCTCATTATATCTACAAACACAAGATCTTCTGTGAAAATGGGTTATATTAGTCCACTCCTTCTGGTACCTCCCTCACAAAGGGTCAAAATTTTGAATATCCATGAAGCTCCCTAAAATACGAAATTTACATCCGATTCCATTCAGACTGGGTACATCTCAAAATTTACAGCAACACAAGATCTGTAATAATAATGGTAGAGATCGGACCATTTCTTCTGGTACCTCCCCCACACAGGGTTCAAGAAAAGCTCAAAGAAAGCGAAATAAGCACCAACTCCCTTCAAATTTCATACATACAAACATTTTTGCTAACACATGATCTGTTGTGAAGATGATATATATCTGCGAAGCCCTTCTGATACCTCACCCATAAAGGGTCACAATTTCCAATACTTATATCTGTCATAACTTACGAAACAAGTTGGCGATTCTTTGCTACTTTGGAACGAACCATTCGGAACGAATTTGGAAATTTTCAAAAAATAAAATCATTAAAACATTCTGTTAAAATTTTAAAAATACTAAATATAGCCGTTACATTGGGGTCTATAAGACGTGGGCCTACATAAGCATTGTTTGTCATAAGCCATTACCATAATCAAATTCGAAACTTTAATTAAACGGTGAAAAATGTAGCTAAAATCATCAAAATATCGTATATAGGGGGGTACCGTTATATCAGAGCTGTGCGAAGACCTGGACCTGCATTGACAATTTTCTGTCACAGGCTGTAGCATCCATTACGAACTTCAACTAACACATCTCAAACAATTTCGGTGGCTATTGTAGCTAAAATCGTCAAAATATCGAATATTGGGAGGTACTGATATATGGGGTCTATACGAAGACTTGGACCTGCATAAGCAATTTGCTGTCACAGACTGAAGTTCCCATAACGAACTCTAAATACGTAATTTGAAACAATTCTGGTGAATAATGACGCTAAAATCATGAAAATACCGAATATCTAGAGGTACCGTTATATGGGGGCTATACGAAGACGTGGACCTGTACAGACAATTTTCTGTCTTAAGATGTAGTATCCATTTCGAACTTCAAATACCAAATTTGAAACAATTCCGGTGAAACATTTTGCTAAAATCATCAAAATACCGAATATCGGGAGGTACCGTTATGTGGGGGCTATATGAAAATGGCCCCCGTTATGTGGGGGCCATTTTCAATACCAAAATTCCTGCAGACATAATATACATTTGTGTAAAATTTTATCAATCTACTTCATTTCGTTCGGAAGCTACAGTAATTTCCATAGACGGACGGACATCGCTAAATCGACATTGAATTTTATGCTGATAAAGAATACTTCGTGGGGTGTGAAACGTATATTTCGAGATGTTACAAACGGATTGACAAACTTAATATACCCTGCATATTATGGTGGAGGGTATAAAATTTCGAGGCTAGCTAGAACTCCGACGATTGTTGGCCCTAAAAAAATTAAGAGATTCTTATTTGAAAATCAAGGGATAGCTTTTCTAAGGCTGATAACTTAGTCATCAATTTTGGCCAGAATTTAGTCTCGCATAATCTCCTTAAAAATCCACAATTTTTAGCCAAAGGTATGCCTTCAAACAGTTTATGAAAAATCCATAAATTTGAGCCAAAAGCCTGGTTTTCAAATTTTTATGAAAAATGTATTGAAAATCCATGATTTTTTTGTCTGAGGCTGGCCTAGAATATAGTCCCGATTATTGTCCAGAATGTGGTCTCGCAAAATCTCCTTCAAAATCCAAAATCTCCTTATCAGAAATCCAAAATTTTGAGCCAAAAGCTAGGTTTTCAAAGAATTTCTTGAAAAATATATTTAAAATCCATCATTTTTTTTTTGTCTGAGGCTGGCCTAGAATATTTCTCCCAAGAATATTTCCTTTTAAGTCCTCCATTTTTGCCAAAGACTGGTTTTGGATATTTAAAGGCAGACGTACCACATGACATATTCATTTCTGAAGTGTTTTTTATTTATTTTTTGCGCCCCAAAATATGCTACACATTTTGATTTTTGTTGTCTGAACCACACTTTCGCTCGACAAATCGTATAATTTAAGACTAATCTCTAAGTTGTCATGTCTTCTCTAATCGAAATAGAAAACCTAATTTCTCTAAATATTTGGGCTGTTCCAGAACCTGCGAGAATCTACTAGTTTTGTATTTTTTTTTTTTTTTTTGTTTGATATTATAAAGGGAAAATCTAGGTTATCGTAGTAAAAACTTTTACATTCTTGCAGTTCTGGCACAGATCAATTAAAAAAAAGAAATTTTCCCAATTTTAGTTTTTTGCAATTTTAGAATTTATAGGTCTGTATGAGCCTTTACCAGAAGACTTCATTATTACCCTCCGATTTCCAATCCCAAAAAATTTCGCCTTTAAAAGCCAATATTTTTCCAATACTATATATCTCCTTTTATTTTATTAATAATACAAAATATTTACAGTCTATATATAACAAATGGCTTAATGCACCATTTACAAATTCTGCGAAATACACCCTTAAATTAAAAATTCATTTTCTGCGCACCACTAAGCCTTCACGCCGGGCAAATCGGCAAACACATAGTTAGCTGGAACATAATTAAAGATTTTGGTCCAACGATCTTTGAACAGTTTACTCAACACCTCGTTGAGAGTGGGCCGTAAAATCTCGAATATAGCATCTCCGTACGAATTCAAAATGGCATTCTCTTGGCTCGAATCGGCACCATCCAAATTCAAGTAGACCCCGCGGACCTCTTGCAAATCCAAACGTAAATCATCCACCGTGGTAAAGGTATAGCCACGATCTTCTGCCAGTTTGAAGAGTATGCCGACGCGGGCCACTGCACTTTCTGTGAGAGAGAGAAAGAGAAAAGGAGAAGAGAGAGTCAAATTAGTGGAGTAAATTTATGAGGTTATGGTGCATATTTTTCAATTGGCTTCTTTAGATTTTAGCATTGATTGAAAATTGTGACCCTTTGTGGGTGAGGTACCACAAGGGGTCCATCTGTTGGCAGAAATGTTGGTATTTATGAAATTTGAAGATAGTTGGATGCTTATTTCGCTTTCATTGACCATTTTTTTTTTCTTTTCAAAATCTTGAACCCTAAGTGGGGGAAGTACCTGAAGAAATGGTCCGATATCTTCCATATTTATAACAGATCTTGTATTGATGGAAATATTGGGATTTACCAAGTTTTGAATGGAATCGGATGTCAATTTCGCTTTTTATGAGCTTCGCGGATATTCAAAATTTTGACACTTTGTAGGAGAGGTACCAGAAGGAGTGGACCGATATATTCAATGTTCACACCAGGCCTTGGGTTAATATAAATATTGTGATGTGCGTAATTAGAAGAGAACCGGATGCTTAGTTTGGATTTTATAAACGTTTTGGTAATTCAAAACTTTGACCCTTTGTGGGGGAGGTACCAGAAAAAATGGTCCGATCTCTATCATCTTCATAACACATCTAGTGTTGATGGAAATATTGAGTTGAGTCAAGTCTGAATGGAATCGAATGTTAATTTCACGTTTTATGAGCTTCACGGATATTCAAAATTTTGACCCTCTGTGGGGGAGGTACCAGAAGGAGTGGACCAATATACTCCATCTTAACACCAGATCTTGGGTTAATAAAAATATTGTGATGTGTGAAATTTGAAGACAATCGGACTCTTACAACACATTTTATCAGAGTTGTAATTATTCAAAAACTTGACCCTTTGTGGGGGAGGTACTCGATATAGCGGACCAATTTTATCCATTTTCGCACCTGACCCAACACTAATGAAAATACTAGGATTCGCAAAGTTGGAGCAAAATCGGATCATCCTTTCTCTTTCTGTGCAATACAATAATTTCTTTGAAAATTTCGAAATTTTGTGGGGGAGGTACCAGAAGGAGTGGACCGATATTGCCCATCTCCCAACTCCATCCAAGTTTGACAAAAATATTACGATATACCAAGTTTGGATCAAATCGGATACTCCCTTGGAGAGTTATCGTGCGCACCAACAAACCAGACAGACGGACATCGTTAGATCGTCTCCAAATGTTCTGAAATGGAGACCTAGGGTCTAAAGCCGTTATTTCGACTAGACACGTTTCATGACTGTATGAAATGATATATACCCTCTCTAGCCATATGGCTGAGGGTTTAAGAAATAAATAAATGCTAAAAGAGATCATATTTCAATGCCAAAGCCAAACTCGTACACTTCGTTCTTCAATTCTTTGCCATTCTTCCAACAAAGCTTTCTTCAAATCTTCTGTCGGAATTTTTCAGCGAGGTAGCTCTATAAATTCTCTATGGGGTTTATATCTAAACTTTGAGCTGGTGTATTCACGGCGTGGGGACAATTATATAGCAGCCATGGCCGCACTTTATAAGCCTTGTGTTTTGGAATGATAAAAATAATAATCTTCGACAAGGCCGAGCTTTTCCTTACAGAGTGGCAAACTTTCTTTCAAAATGTTAAGGTATATAGTCTGATCCATAATAACCTCAATAAAATGCAATACCCTAGGTCCAGAGGCTGAAAATGAAGCCCACATCATTACTGACCCACCACCGTGCTTCACTGTAGGCTTCACATTTTTGGCAAGGAGCGCTTCATTTGCCTTTCTCCATACATAAGGTCTGCTGATCCGAAACAAAAAGCTTGCATTTGCTCTCGTCCGTGAATTGCTTATTTCGCCAAAAATGAAAAATCTTTTTATATGTGCTCTGGGCTAGTGTATCCATGACGTGGGGACAATTATATAGCAGTCATGACCGCACTTTATAAGCCTTGTGTTTTTGGGATCATTGTCTTGATAAAAATAATAATCTTCGCCAAGGTTGAGCTTTTCCTTACAGAGTGGCAAACATTCTTTCAAAATGTTAAGGTACATAGTCTGATCCCAAATACCCTCAATAAATTAGCATACCCCAGGTCCAGAGGCTGAAAATGAACCCCACACCATTACTGACCCACCACCGTGCTTCATTGTAGGCTTCTTATTTTTGGCAAGAAGCGCTTCATTTGCCTTTTTCCATACATAAGGTCTGCCATCCGAACCAAAAAGCTTGAATTTGCTCTCGTCCGTGAATAGCACATTCTTCCAAAATGAAAAATCTTTTGATATGTGCTCTGGGCTGGTGTATCCATGACGTGGGGACAATGTAGCAGTCATGGCCGCACTTTATAAACCTTGTGTTTTGGGATCATTGTCTTGATTAAAATAATAATCTTCGCCAAGGCCGAACTTTTCCTTACAGAGTGTCAAACTTTCTTTCAAAATGTTAAGGTACATAGTCTGAACCATAATACCCTCAATAAAATGCAATACACCAGGTCCAGAGGCTGAAAATGAAGCTCTCATCATTACTCACCCACCGCCGTGCTTTAATTGCCCATCTCCATACATAAGGTCTGCTGATGCGAATCAAAAATTTGCTCTCGTCCGTGAATAGCTTATTCCTCCCAAAAATGAAAAATCTTTTGATATGTGCTCTCGGCTGATGTGTCCATGACGTGGGGACAATCGGATCATTGTCTTAATAAAAATAATAATCTTTGCCATGGCCGAGCCTTTCCTTACAGAGTGGCAAACTTTCTTTCAAAATGTTAAGGTACATAGTCTGATTCATAATACCCTCAATAAAATGCAATACAGCAGGTCAAGAGGCTGAAAATGAACACCACACCATTATTGACCCACCACCGTGCTTCACTGTAGGCTTGATATTTTTGGCAAGGAAAGCTTTATAAGCCTTGTATTTCGGGATCATTGCCTCGGCAAAAATAATAATCTTCGCCAAGACCGAGCTTTTTCTTACAGAGTGGCAAACTTTCTTTCCAAATCTTAAGGTATATAGTCTGATCCATAATACCCTCAATACAATGCAATGCAGCAGGTCCAGAGGTTGAAAATGAAGCCCACATTATTATTCACCCACCACCGTGCTTCACTGCAGGCTTCATATTTTTGGCAAGGAACGCTTTAAAAGCCTTGTGTTTCGGATCATTGTCTTGATAAAAATAATAATCTTCGCCAAGACCGAGCCTTTCCTTACAGAGTGGCAAACTTTCTTTCAAAATGCGAAAGTACATAGTCTGATTCGTAATACCCTCAATAAAATGCAGTACACCAGGTCCAGAGGCTCATCCACCACCTTGCTTCACTTTAGGCTTCATATTTTTGACATGGAGCGCTTCATTTGCCTTTCTCCAAACATAAGGTCTGTCATCTGAACAAAAAAGATTGCTCTCGTCCGTGAATTCCTAATCCAAAATCGAAAAATGTTTTGATATGTGCTCCATGGCAAATCGCAATCTTACTTCTTGATTTCGCTTGCCGATTAGAGGTTTATATCAAGCTCTTCTGCCATTGTAATTCGACTTATGCAGTATATTTATATATTGTTTGAGGGCAACATACTTTTTCCAAATCCTTTTCAGCAATTTTTTGTGAGCTTCGGAGCACTTAAAAATTGATCCTTTTTGATCTGCCGTAAAAATATACACTCTCAGCACTCAATGTCAATATTTTATTATTTGCCGTTTTTTGACTTATTACCTACACATCCATCTGTTTTGAACCGTTTTATGATGTACTGAACTGTAGATCGGCTTCTATTAACAATCTCAGATATCTCACTTAACGATTTTTGGATTTTGTAATGTTTAATTATTAAATTTCGCACTTCAACAGTGGTTTTGTCCTCGTTGTCTTCCCATTTTTTTATCTCTCCACCATAGTATGGAGGGTATATTAAGTTTGTCATTCCGTTTGTAATATACATCCTCGAAATATACATTTAAGCATGGAGCTACTGTATTTATTTACCTACCTACATACTTATGTCCTGATTTAATTATCTTTTAACTTACCAACTGAAATCGTAGCGGTGCCTTTTCCACCAACCGGCAGCGTAAAAATATGACCATTGATATCGTAGCCACCATTAACCGCCAACTTTTTTAGGCCCATCTTCACCATAACGCCCAAGGGTTTGGTTTCAAATCTAGAATAAATGAAAAAAATTATTTAATACAATTTCCCATATGCTCTAGTCCAGAACCTGCAAGAATCTTTGAATTTTTTCGATATCATAAAGGAAAGACGTATTATTATAAAAAATGGAGGACTTCACATTCTACTCTCTTATATACTAATTAATCCCCATTAACTCACCTCGACTCCCTGGCTTTGATGTCACTCAACCCCGTCAATGTGACATTATTTAAATTCAAATTAATCGAAATCGGATTATTTAAATCCTGATTGATGCCAATACGTTTTACAAACATCGGATCGATTGAGCTGACAGATTTTAGGCCAGGAACACCTAGGAAAAGATATTATTAATTAATTATAAGTATAGAAAATTATAAAATTATACTTTACCATTTCTCCATATTGTGTGAATGTTCTCCACGGTTTTGCCAAAGCAGCTACTGAAACTGGGGTCCGTAATACTGCAGGGATTAAGGAAATCGGCTGTAAGAAAAAAAATAAACCTTTAATAACAACGAATTTTAATATATCTGCCAGATCTAAAAAATATATTTTGCAGAGCTCATTTTTGCTTGATCGAGATTTGAGGGTGATAGAATTATAAAAACAAAAATTATTCAAGGCTTGCGAAAAGGACGATGCCTTTCGTCTTGCTTAACATGGCACCAAAGCCAATATAGCGAGGTTATAACGTTGGGATCTGTGTCGGAATGCACACTGAGATCATGAGTTGAGTGTTTACACATAATTGGTACTCTCTCTCTCTCTCTCTCTCTCTCTCTCTTGATAAGACAATATAGTGACTTCATTGTTATTCAATCGTTTCAGGCTCTTCCTCATCCTCGCATAACCTGCAGTAGTAACAGAAAATCCTTGGTTAAGTTCCCATTACGGCACCGCGAACACGTGGAGGACGATTGGTATAAAGGGCAGACGACGGCAGAATCGGAACCGCCATCACTAGACCAGTGAAGCAGCAACATCGAACCTCGGTAAGTGATACAACCTTCAATGGAATCCTTGACCATCCTTGCGTAGCCTATTGACACCCTTGCATAACCTGAAGACTTGCTTGAAGAATCGTGTGGAAATCTTTAGACATCTTTTGTAAGTCCTTGTAGCCAGGTTGTGTATATATTAAGATCTCTCCCAACCATAGCTTTAACAATCTTCGTAGTCTGTTTGAGTACTTATAAAGGTCTCTCGCAGCCGTAGTCTGTCGGAGTACTCATTAAGGTCTCTTGCAACCGTATCCTTGAATATCCTTGTGGTTTCTTGTGTACTTATTGAGATCTCTTGCAACCGTATTTTTGAATGCCCTGGTAATCTGCCTTAGTACTTATTAAGGTCTCTTGTAGCCGTATTGTAGAACATCCTTCTAGCCTGCTTGAGAATATAAAAAGATCTCTTGTCATCGTAATCTTGAGCATCCTTGTAATTTGTTTGAGTACTTATTAAGGCCTCTTACAACCGTAGTTTTGAATATCCTCGTAGCCTGCTTGAATACTTATTAAGTTTTCACGGAACCCTAGCTTTAACTATCCCTGTAGTCTGCTTGAATACTCGCAACCGTGTCGTTGAATATCAAGGTACTCTAGTTGAGTACTGAATATCCTTGTAGTCTGTCTGAGTACTTATTAAGGTTTCTCGCAAACGTAGCTTAGAATATCCCTTCCGCCTACTTGAGTACTTATTGATGTCTCTCATAACCGTAGCTTTGAATATCCTCCCGGTCTTCCCAAGTACTTTTTAAGGTCTCTTGCAACCGTATCTTTGAATATCCTCGTAGCCTGATTGAATACTTATTAAGATATCAACCCTATCCTTGCAGTTACATTGGGAAGTTATTGAGGTTTCTTGCAAACGTAGCCATATCCTTGTAGTCTACCTGAGTACTTATTAAAGTCTCTTGCGATTCTATCCTTGAATATACCTGTAACCTGCTTGAGCACTTCTTAAGGTCCTTTGCAACCGTAGCTTTGAATATACTTGTAGCCTGCTTAAGTATCTATTAAGGTATCTTGCAACCGTATCCTTAAATATTCCTGTAGTCTTAGGCATCAGAACTCCTGTAGACGTAGACTTACACTTTCTCATATATTATGCTTGAGTACTTATTAAGGCCTTTCGCATAAAATCGTTCCGATAGACTTTAATATACTATCTCGAATCCTGAGGGCGAAATGCTGCTGCCCTGCTGCTTTTGGTGGTCCACGTTTAGTATATTCGGTATTTTGATGATTTTATCGACATTATTCACCGGATTTGTTTCAAATATCGTATTTGAAGTTCCTCGTTCGTTAAATTTGAAAGAGACCTAGTCGCCATGGAGAAAAATTATCAAAGAAACGGCTTGGCCTGGATAAATAAGTCCAAGCTCAGGAGACAAGTTCGAACAGCAGAATTAGATGTCGAAAAATTGGATGTAACCAAACTGGAAGTTCCAAACTTGAGGATTTGGTGCAGTCCTTGTTTGCTAAATTTGAAAGAGACCTACTAGCCATGAAAAAAGTACACAAAGAAATGGCTTGTCTTGGATAAACAAGTCCAAGATCTGGAAGCCAAATGTTGGAATCTAAGGTTACAAAAATAAAATAATACCTAACAGAGGCTTCAAGACTTTATGAAGTCCTTGCCCACTAAATTTGACAGAGACCTACTCGCTATATAATAAAGGTATCCAAAGAAAAGGCTTGGCCATGATAAACAAGTCCAAGATCAGGAAGTCAAGTTGTAGCAGTAGAAAATGTTGTCGAAAAATCGGAGGTAATCTATCTGGAAGTCCCAAACTGGGACTTCAAGATTTGATACAGTCCTTGTTCGCTAAATTTGAAGACCAAGACCTGGAAGCCAAGCTAGAGCGGCAAAATAAGATGTTGAAAAATCGGTGGAAATCAAACTGGAAGAGATCTACACGCAATGGACGAAAAATACGCAAAGAAATGGCTTGACCTTGATAAACAACTCTAAGATCCGGAAGCCAAATTAGAGTTGAAAAATACTCTGAGGTAACCAAAATGAGGCTTCAATATTTGATGCAGTCCTTGTTCGCTAAAATTGAGACGTCATCGAAGAAAAGTCCGCAAAGGAACGGCTTGGCTTGGATTAACAAGTCCATGATCTCGAATCCAAGTTCGAACAGAAGAATAAGATGTCAAAAAATAGGAGGTAACTAAACTGGGACTTCAAGATTTTGTGGAGACCTTGTTCTCTAAATTTGGAAGAGACCTACTAGCCATAGAAAAAAGTACGCAAAGTAATGGGTTGGCCTAGATAAACAAGTCCAGAACCTGGAAGTCAAGAATAAGATGTCAAAAAATCTGTGGTAACCAAACTGGGACCTCAAAATTTGGTGAAGTTCTCGATCGCTAAATTTAGAAGAGACCTACTAGCCATGGATGAAAAGTCCACAAAGAAACGTCTTGGCCTGGATAAATCCAAGATCAGGAAGCCATGTCCGAGCATCAAAATAAGATATCAAAAAATCGGAGGTAACCAAACTGACATTTAAAGATTTCGTGTAGTTCTTGTTCGCTAAATTTGGAAGAGACCTACTCCCAAGGGGAGAAAAAGCACACAGATTCGGCTTGATCTGGAAAAACAATTCCAAGATCTGGAAGTCATGTTCGAGCAGCAGAATAAGAGGTCGAAAAATCGGAGGTAACTAAACTGGAAGACCCAAATTGAGGCTTTAAGGTTTTATGAAGTCTTTGCTCTCTAAATTTGAAAGAGACCTAGTAACCATGAAAAAAAGTATTCAAAGAAACGGCGTTAACAGGATACACAAATGCAAGATCTGGAAGTCAAGTTAGAGCGGGAGAATAAATTTATAAAAAAATCATAACCAATTTGGAAGTCCCAGACTGGGACTTCAAGATTTGGTGCCGTCCTTGTTCGCTAAATTTGAAAGAGACTATCTAGCCATAGAAGAAAAGTCCGAAAAGAAACGGCTTGGCCAGCATAAACAAATTTCTTGGTCTGGGTATACTAGTCCAAGATATGGAAGCCATGTTAGAGCAATAGAATAATATGTTGGAAGCTAAGGTTTCAAAAATAAAATAATACCAAACTGAAGCTTTAAGGTGTCGTCCAAGACCTACTTGTCATAGAAGAAAGGTACGAAAGAAACTGGAAGTCAATTTCGAGCAGCAGAATACTATTCATAGAAGAAAGGAACGCAAAGAAACGGCTCTGACTAGATTAACAAGTCCAGGACCTGGAAATGAAGAATAAGAGTCGAAAAATCCAAGGTAACTAAATTTGAAAGAGACCTAATCGTTATGGAAAGAAATGGCTTGACCTGGATAAGGGTTTCAAAATAAAATAATGCCAGACTCACATTTCTAGATTTGATGAAGTCCTTGACCACTAAATTTGAAACAAACCTACTAGCCACAGAAAAAAGTCTACAAAAATGGCTTGGGCTGGATAAACGAGTCCAAAATGTGGAAGCCAATTTCAAGCAGCAGAATAAAAGGTTGAAAATTACGATATAATCAAACTAGAAGTCCCAATCTGGGACTTCAAGGTTTGGTTCAGTCCTTGTTCGCTAAATTTGAAAGAGACCTACTCACCATGGCATAAACATCATCCAAAATCTGGAAGCCAAATTTGAGCAGCAGAATAAAAAATTGGAAGTCAAAATCGAAGAAAAAAGTAGGAAAGTCACTCAATTGAAAAAAAAAATTGATAGGTAAACAAATGGTATTGTTGGACCTTCGGAAAAACACCACGCAAGCATTTACGTACTGCCGATACAATGCATTTCGCAATGTTTGCACTCATTTGGCACCGATTCACGTAAAGTTAGCTCATAACACCACAATATGTTTTCGCTGGATCCAAAGGTTTTTTAACCATCATTTTTTATAACCGAATTCTTCGATAATATTTTCTTTTTTATTAAATCCAATTCAATAACTGAGGTGTGCTCAGAATTGTTTGAAAATATTTATTCTTGTCTTAATTTTACGTACGTTTCTCGCTAAGAATTTTCCGACCCATTGCCAGTGCAATCATGGACAAGGTTACTAAACTGCAAATCTGCATTCGCTGATGGTGATTCATGTTGCGTTTTTCTGCGTTAAACCCACAATACCGCTAAGAAACAGTTTCGTTGTGGACGACAGTCGCTCCGAACAACCGTCCGCTTTGAATTTTAACAAAATACTGAAGGTATTTAAATATGCCGAACAGCAACACGTTTCAATGCACATACACTTGTATTGTTTATATTATGGAAACAACAAAAACTGGTTTTAGTTTAATGCCGGCATCGCGCGTTTTTGTCGTCAAATAGTGGGGTAGACAGAGAGACAGACAGATAGTTGGCCAGCCCGGCAGCCACCTAGCAGACCCACTATTGTGAAATATTACGGCCAAACAGAAAAAATGTTAACAATAACAAATGTTATAACCAAATTAAAAGTGAAATCCAGACTTCAACGAATTTGGGTGTGCCCTAAGGGAATGGGGCTTTGGAACGAAAGAAAGAATTAAATGTATCTGTAAAAATTAGAGGGGAATCCAATCTCGCTCTTCGGCTGTCAATTCAATTCTCTATCCGGTTCGAAGGACCAAATGTGAAAAATGAAAAGGGAATCTAATCTTGCTCTTCGATTGTTAATTCAAGGAAATCCAATCTCTCTCTTCGGTTGTCAATTCAAATCTCCATCCGGCTCGAAGGACCAAATGTGAAAAATGGAAAGAGAATCTTATCTTGCTCTTCGGTTGTCAATTCAAGGAAATCCAATCTCTCTCTTCGATTGTCAATTCAATTCTCTATCCGGCTCGAAGGACCAAATGGAAAAAAAATGAGAAGGGAATCCAATCTCGCTTTTCGGTTATTAATTCAAAGAAATCCAATCTCTCTCTTCTGTTGTCAATTCAATTCTCTATCCAGCTCGACGCACCAAATGTGAATCTATTTTTATCTATTCAAATATTGAATGGAGAGCATTTACCGGACTTGGTTGTCCTTTAATTCAAGTGGTCTTGAATACCAACAGAGCACATCCGATACATCTTTATTATCTTATATATTATCAATGAAGGATCACTGAATTGTTCTTATAGGGTGAGGTGAAAACAAAACTGCAACCAACTTCAGACTGGTGTCATTTTCAACCCACTCATCCGACAGCTGTTAAAATTATTCCAGTGACAGTTCATTATATTGTCTACAAGCGTACGAAAGCATTTTGGTGAGAATTTTCCAGAAAAAAAGTTATTCGTGATGGAATTCAAGCGTGATTTCTTTATATTTGGCTGGAAAACCCCAGGGGGCTATCGTTAGAGCACTCCAGCATTTAAATGTGAATAAATCTTTTGTGTCTCGTGCCATCTCTCGTTGCCGTGATACTGGTAGCGTATCCCGAGGTCCGACGTCAAGGAAGTGAAAGTGGACAGAAGAAAACAGCAACATCAGCAGAAATGGTTCGAAAAGTGAAGAAGCGACTTGATCTAAACCCACGTCGCAGTGGTCGAAAATTGGCTTGTGAGCTGTTTATCTGCTTGAGTACGTATTAATGTATCTTGCAGCCGTATCGTTGAACATCCTGCTAATCTGCTTGATTACATATGAAGGTCTCTTGTCATCATAGTCTTTAGCATCTTTGTAGTCTGCCTGAGAACTTATTAGGTCACTGACAACCCTATCATTCCATATCCTCGTAGCATGCTTGATTACTTATTAAGATCTCCTGCATCCGTAGCTTTGAATATCCTTGTAGCCACCTTATGTACTTATTAAAGTCTCTTGCAACCGTATCCTTGAATATCGTTGTAGTCAGCTTGAGTACTTATTATGGTATCCTGCCAAGATAGCCTTGAATACACTTGTAGTCTGTCTGAGTACTTTTTAAGGTATCTTGGAACGGTAGCTTGGAGTATCCTTGTAGTCTGCCTGAGTACTTATTAAGATATCTTTCATCCGTAGCTTTGAATATCCTTGTAGCAAGCTCATGTACTTATTAAGGTATCTTGCAACCGTATCCTTAAATATCCTTGTAGTCAGCTTGAGTACTTATTATGGTATCCTGCCAAGATAGCCTTGCATATACTGCTAATCTGTCTAAGTACTTTTTAAGGTATCTTGCAACGGTAGCTTGGAGTATCCTTGTAGTGAGCTTAAGTACTTATTAAGGTCTCTTGCAACCGTAGAATATCCGTTAGGTATGCTTGAGTTCTTATTATGGTATCTTGCAAACGTATCCAGTAGACCATATACATAAATAGGCGAAGGTAGTTCCCGTTCGTCAGCATAATCATACATGCAGCACCTGCATGGGTGTCATCCAAACCATCATATGGACATCAACGCTACAAAAGAAAGCCTCCAGATCAGGAAGTTTTTCAGGCTGGTCTGAGTGGCATTAATAGATTGGTTTTAGAAAATTGGCTCGTGAGCTGAACATATCGCAATATTCCATTCGGCAAATATTGAAAAATGAGCTCGGGGTAAAGCCATTGAAATTCCGAAAAGTGCAAGAAATTACACCGCAACAGAAAGAAAATAGACTCAAAAGAGCCAAAGAGTTGATTCGCTTTGCCGAGTACCGAGTGGTGAACTGCCGAATTTGGTTTTCTCCGTCTCCGATAAGAAAACATTCCAGCAGCATGTCCAGCAGTTTGTAAACAAACAAAATGATCGTGTTTACTTGCCAAGGAGGTCAGCTGAAAATGTGCACCTTAGGTTGGCCACCAGAAAAAAAAACTCAAGCGCCGGCTATGATGTGGACCGCCATAAAAGCCGATGGTCTCTCTCCGCTCGTATAAATCGACCATGGCATCAGAATAAATGCCGAATATTATCGCGAAAATATTCTGGAGGGTGTATTAAAGCCTTGGGCACGCAAACATTTTGGCCGCAGACCTTGGACATTCCAACAGGACTCAGCACCATCGCACTCAGCACGCGCCACCCAACAGTGGTTACAAAATGAGGTCCCTCGCTTCATTTCCAGCGCACAATGGCGACCAAAATCTCCAGATACCAATCCGTTGGACTATTGTCTGTGAAGTATTTTGGAAAGCAAGGTTGGCACTAGAAAATACCAAAGTGTCGATCACCTCAAGCAAGCGCTTCACCGGGAATGTGTCAAAATACCGCAGAACAACATTCAGGCAACGTGTGATGGTTTCATTGGCCCTTTGGAGGCCATAATTCGTGCCAATTCGAACAAATCTAAACTTATTCTAAAATTTGATGCTATTTCCGACATTTTTTGCTTTCATTTAATAAAATTGAAAAAATAAAGTAAATATTATGGTGTTGGACTTTGTTACAATTTTTTACCTCACCCTGTATGCTGCATTTTATGGCATGTGAATAATTGATAATTTTGGAATATTTATTTTTAATTGTTAAATTTTCCCAGCACCTCACCCGCACTCAAAAGTATGCGCAAAGTTTTTGATCATCTCACTCTATTCATCATTGGTGTGCCTCCGAAAATTTCTGAGAAGTTTTCTTTCGACTTCTTTGGGCTAGAATACCAGATTTTTAGTAAGGTATCTAACTTCACGATTTGTCTTCTCTTCTTCATCTCAAAATAGATAAAATAAATTAAATTTAAATTTTTGATATTTTAATCCCTCATCTTTATATGCCACATGTAGGGTATCACAATAATAGACGTTAAAGCTCATTGCACTACCAAACAACAAATAGTCAGTTTATGTACATACATATGTATGCATGAACTCTTGTGTAGTCAAGTCCGACAAAAAAAAACGAAAGTAGCTTACACGAGCACATACATACATAGCAACTTATCCGCTATTATTATTACCAAACAATGGACGGAGAGCCAAATATTAAATAATTCAATGTGAAGAAGTCAAACCACAACAAACAAACCAACAACCACAACAACAAAAATAACACTTTCTTTTTCCAAACAATTCGAAATGAGAGTATTACCGAGAACTTGTATTTTACGCTCCACTAAATTGGTTTGCTGGGCATAGGTGTTACTCGTCTTTTGGTCAACATTTGAAGTTCTGGAAAAGTGATTAAGTTTTAAAAACTTTAGGCATTTATAATACAAAAGAGGTGGTAATATTAGATCAGTATAACAAACCCCAAAAGAGAGTAGAATTCTCAGCTAAAAAAATCGCATTATAATTGCTATAACGCGACCTAAGTTTCGAAACTTTTAAGACAGAACTTTGAAATATGGATTATTGGTAATTAAAGTGGCGAAAATTAATTTCCTCAATAGATGTTCAAAAAAGAGGTACAGAATAATTAAGAACCTCAATTTTTTAAAATGTCCAACATATATGGGATGGAGGGTAAAGTAAATGTCATTTTGTAATCTCTCATTGTAAGCTTAAATCTCAAGGGTTGGTAAAAAATAATGCATAAATAAAATAATTCATAAAGTTTATTAAAAAATTCATTGTATGATATGTTGGAGTAAGTGTTAGGTTAGATTACTTTTCTACAAACAGATTAATCGGCCATTCGGACCTTTACATAAGACCTTTACACAGCGATAACCTAGACCGTCATGCGAGTCCGAAATCTATGAACATTGTGAGCGAAGGTTTGATGTGTCGTAATTTAATATATATGATCTAGAATTATATTAAAAAATAACTTTTTTTCAGATTCTTAAAATATTATATGCTACAGAATGGACTAATGGACAACATTTGAAGATAAAATTATAATGACCAGTGGACCTGATAACTCTATTTATTCCACAAATATTTTCATCATCTTGGGAAGTCTTTTGTGCTTGAATCTTTCTCCAATATTGTTTAGAATAAATTCCACTTGATTTTATTTTAACGAAAACACTCTTTAAAATTAAAGTTTTGTGTTCTCGAAAAAAAATTCCGTTCCTAGAATTTCTTGCGTCTTCACTATCGCCGAACAAAATCTCTCGCCCTCACATGTTGAGATCTTCTTTGGCAAACTTATCAATAACTGTCTCTTCAAAAACTAAATGCAAAAAATTTTGTGGTTAAAGACTTTTCACTCAGCCAGGGATTTTTTTCTCAAATGTTGTTAACTACAAATAACTATAGGAGCATATTTTGTAATTTACAGACGTAAATATTAAAAAAAAAAAATAATTAAAAAATGGGAAGACAACGAGGACTCACTGTTGGAGTGAGAAATTTAGTAGTTAAACATTACAAAATCCATAAATCGCTAAGTGAGATATCTGAGATTGTTGATAGGAGCCGATCTACAGTTCAGTACATCATAAAACGGTTCACAACAGACAGAAGTGTAGAAAATTAATCAAAAACGACAAATAATAAAATATTTACCTTGAGTGATGAGAAGTATATTTTACGGCAGATCAAAAAGGATCCAATTTTGAGTGCACCGAAGCTCGGAAAATTTGCTGAAAGGGATTTGCGAAAAGTATGTTGCCCTCAAAAAATAAAAAAAATATAATGCATAAGTTGAATTACAATGGAAGAAGAGCTAGACAAAATCCTCTAATCAGCAAGCGAAATCAAGAAGTAAGATTGCGATTTGCCAAGGAGCGCTTATCAAAAGATTTTTCATTTTGGAAGAATGTGATGTTCACAAACGAGAGCAAATGCAACCTTTTTAGTTCAGAGGCCATACTTAAGTATGCAGAAAGGCAATTGAAGCGCGCTTTGCCAAAATACATATGAAGCCTACAATGAAGCACGGTGGTGGGTCAATAATGGTGTGGGGTTCATTTTCAGCCTCTGGACCTGGTGTATTGCATTTTATTGAAGGTATTATGAATCAGACTATTTACCTTTACATTTTGAAAGAAAGTTTGCCACTATGTAAGGAAAAGCTCGGCCTTGGCGAAGATTATTATTTTTATCAAGACAATGATCCGAAACACAAGGCTTATAAAGTGCGGTCATGGTTGCTATATAATTGTCCCCACGTCATGGATACGCCAGCCCAGAGTCCAGGCGTAAACCCCATAGAGAATTTATGGAGCTATCTCGATGGAAAAATCCGCCAGCGTGCCATATCATGCAAAGAAAATTTCAAGAAAGATTTGTTGGAAGAATGGCAAAAAATTGAACCTAGATTTTGCGAAAACCTTGTTAAAAGTATGCTAAATAGGCCACAAATGGTAAAAAATAAAGGAATGCATACAAAATATTAATGTCTTTTATTTTTTACTTTAAATAAATTAAAATTTTAAGTTTTTTTTATTTTTTAATTTGTAAACATTTTTTAAGTTTTGATTTTTGAAAGTTATAAGAAAAATAATAATTTTCTTTAGCTATACGAGTTCTGCTTCGAGCTACTATATATATAAAAACTGGATATCAGAACAAATAATTTTTTGGTATAAATGGAAAAATAATTAATAAAACGGAAAACGTTCCAGCAAAAAACCCTTATTTTATATCACAGAGTTATACCTTTTGAATTATGGCAACCGAATATTGCAGGTTTGTTTTATCTTTATTTTTATACCCTACACCACAAGGTGGTCAGGGTATTATGTCTTTGTGCATTTGTTTGTAACAGGCAAATGGAAACGAGATAGACCCATAGTTCCTTTTGATGATCTGCATAGAATCACATTCTGAGTCGATTTATGCATGTCCGTCTGTCCAAAGTACAGTTCGCATTTATTGCCCTATCCAGATGAAATTTTGCACAAATCATTTGTTTGGCCCAAGGACGAACCCTATTGAAATTGGAGATAATCGGTAAAAATTTAGATATAGCTCCCATATATATCTTCGTCCGATTTTCCTTTTTGTTGTGCACCAAACGTGTAATATCAGGCCGAATAGTATGGAATTTTGCACATACAACAAAATAAGGCCTGTATGCCAAATTTGATCGAAATCGGTTCAGATATAGCTATAGCTCCCATATATATGTTTCATCCGATTTGTTATTTTTGTCCTCCGCAGCCGTAATATGCACTCTGTAACAACAATATTTGGGAAAATATATCAAATACAGCTCAGGAATACATTTGCTAAATTTTATCGAAATCGGATCAGATTTGGATATAGCTCCCATATGTAGCTTCTTTGGTTTACTTTTGATTGTGCACCAAACGTCTAATATTTGCCCAAATTGGATGAAATTTGGCACTTACGACCGAATTGAGTCTAGAAACTAGTATGTCAAATTTGGTGAAGATCGGTTCGGATATAGCTATAGCTCCCATATATACTGTTCATCCGATTTGTTGAATTTTTTACCCACAGGGAAATATATCAAATTCAGGGAAATATATCAAATAAAGCTCTGAAATATCTTTGCCAAATTTTATCGAAATCGGATCAGATTTGGATATAGCTTCCATATATAACTTCGTCCGATTTACCATTTATTGTGCACCAAACGTCTAATATTTGTCCAAATAAGATGGAATTTGGCACATACGACCGAATTGAGTCTAGAAACTAGTACGTGAAATTTGGTGAAGATCGGTTCAGATATAGCTATAGCCCCCATATAATGTTCATTCGATATGTTATATTTGTTACCCACAGCCGTAATATGCACTCCGTAACAACGACATTCAGGGAAATATATCAAATACAGCTCAGAAATATCTTTGCCAAATTTTATCGAGATCGGTTCCGATTTGGATATAGCTCCCATATATATCTTTATCCGATTTCAAATGAATTGTGCACCAAATGGCCAATACAAGTCTGAATTTAAAAGATACAAATGCTTCGGCATGTTTAATCCTTTGAACTTTAAATTATAATTATAATCATGGCGTGTATGATTGAATTCTCCCATTAAAACGTTTAATTGTTATGCGGAGCTCTTCTAAATTAGCAAAATGGTAGGGTATCATAAAGTCGGCCCCGCCCGACTTTAAGACTTACTTTACTTGTTTTTTTTTTTTTTTTGTATTCATCGATATGTGCACTCTCTCTTGTCTACGGAGGCTGTCAAGAGTATAGGGCTTATTCTATCTCCTCTCCTTATCTGGAATTCTCACATTATCGAAGTGTTCATATACAGTGGGGAGCAAAAGTGATTCCATGTTCAGCATAAGCATGTTCATCAGCTCATAGAACGTAAGTCAATGAACCAAATGAAACAAACTTTTTTCTCTCGATTACTTATTCAATTTGTAAGAAAACACCTAAATACTACAATAATACAAGAAGAAATGTAAGAGATAGAAAAAATATCAAAAACAAAAGGCATGTACTCAGTTTTGCACCTTCCGTTATTCGCACTTGTTTTTGCTCTCCCTGTTTTCTTATCGGCAAAATACTTCCAGATTTACAGTTTCATATCTTTTTCATTCAATATTCGTTGTCATAATTCAGAAAGTCGCACAATTCTTACAGTTTAAAGTAGATTTCATGAATTAAGAAATTAGTCTTCAACTTATATCTTTAAAATGAAGAAGCTATCGCCAGACACCGAAAATAGTATTGTTTCCATGACTAAAAATGGTTGTTCGACACGCACAATTGCTGAGAAGCTGAAAATTAGTCAGTCAGTGGTGGTCAAGGTGCAAAAAAGACAAAATGTTTGTTCCGAAAGCGGGTTGAATGGTCGCCCCCGCCTTCTAACGGACTCTGATGCTCGACTTATGATGTCCAACATGAGGAAGAATAAGCTTTTAACACCAAAAGAGGCTTCTAAGGAGTTAAATAAAACCGTAAGTCGATGGACAGCTAGAAGAGCACTGGGTAGAATTGGATATGTCGCCTCTGTTAAAAAAATAAACCAGCTTTATCCGAGAAAAATGTTAGAGCTCAGTTACAATTTGCAAAGACACACAAGAAGTGGACTATAGAAGACTGGAAACGTGTTATCTGGTCAGACGAATCCAAATTTAACCGTTTCCAGTCGGATGGCAAGAAGTATTATTGGCATAGACCCGGAGACAAGCTTCAGAGACATCATGTAAAGCAAACCGTAAAGCATGGAGGAGGAAGTATAATGGCTTGGGGGTGCTTCACATGGTGGCACGTTGGGTCGTTGCACAAAATTGATGGGATAATGCGAAAAGAGGACTATTTAAATATTTTAAAAACCCGTCTTCACGATTTTATCGATAAGAGTGCCTATCCCGAAGGAGAAATCACTTTCCAACAGGATGGGGATCCAAAGCACACAGCGAAAATTGTCAAAGAATGGTTGGCAAAACAAAATTTTAAGGTCATGGAGTGGCCAGCTCAAAGTCCCGACGTCAATCCAATTGAAAACTTATGGTCAATTGTGAAGCGACGGCTCGGGCAGCATGCAACCTTGACAATCTCTGGAGACGCGTGGAGATTGAATGGAGCAAAATTCCGAAAGAAATTATACTGAACTTAGTTGAGAGCATGCCAAAGCGCATAAAAAATGTAATAGAGAATAAGGGTCTTTGGACCAAATATTAATTTGGTATTTCTTTATAATATTTCATAAAAGGTGCAAAACTGAGTACATGCCTTCTGTTTTTGTTTTTTTATTTCTATGTCTTACATTTCTTGTTGTATTATTGTAGTATTTAAGTATATTTGCTACTAATAAAATAAGTATTCCGGGAAAAAAAGTTTGTTTCATTTGGTTCATTGGTTTATGTTTTATGAACGGTCAAACATCCATATGCTGAACATGGAATCACTTTTGCTCCACACTGTATGTCCCCACTGTTTCATATGCTGAGATAAAGCTGTGTTTTCTCTTCCTTTTTTAACATCTGTTTTATACTCATTTATTCTCACACACAATATTCTCTTCGTTGTCCTCACATACAGCTTATTGCACGTCTCTTTTTTATTACCTCTGCATCTTCATAGACAACATCATTTCCTTTAAATGTTTCCGTTTTCTTCCTTTGTTGTTTTCCAAATATGATTTAAGCCATTAAAAAAGCCGCCTATGCACTCTCACCTTAAGGCTTTGATATTTTATTTAATAAAACATTTGTTAATTAAAAAATTATATATTTGTTTTATTTCATTCTTATGCATAAATCTAAATATTATTTTAACAATTAAAAAAATAAATCACATTTTGCGCTTATTTCGACATACTTCCTTCCCTAGTCTATTTATATCTTCTGCCTCCAACTGGCAAGTCTTCAAACAAATACGATGCCGGTACATAGGCCAAAATTTTCGTCCAATAATCTTGCATTATTCGGCCAAAGGCTCCATTTAAACTTGGTCGCAATATGTCAAAAATGCCCGGTTCATTTTGATTCAGAATCTCATTTGCCTTTGCCTCCGCAGCTCGATTATCCAGCTGAAGTCGTAGTCCACTGATATCACGTAGGTTCAAGTGCAGACGCTCCACATCGGTAAAGAGAAGATTACGCTCTTCGCGAGCCAACAGGCGAACGGTGATGTCGACGCGAGATTGTTCTGAAAGAGAGAGGGAGAGGGAAAGAGAGTGTGAGATAAATTGGAGTAATTAATCAATGCATATTGAGAGTGAAATAAATCCATGTCTATTTTTAGTTGAGAGTCGGGTTGAGGGTCAGGCAGAGAGAGAGAGAGCTGTATCGGTTGGCTCTCTGAAGATCCTTATATTCTCTTCTCTCACGAGTACCCATTCCTAGCTACAAGAAGAGCCAGGAGATACTCTCCTAAATTAAAGTAAAATTAAAGTTTGGTCTTTCCAAAGAGTACTCATTCCTAGGTACAAGAAGACCCAGGATATATTCTCCTGAATTGAAGCAAAATTAAAGTTTGGTCTTCCCAAAAAATGTAAATACTCCCAAACTTACCCTCCAACCCAAAACATTGAGGTAGGGCATTGTAAAGCCACTGCGTAAACATTCATCGCACAAATGTTAAGGTCGTAGGGGCTGAGCTATTAGCAATTCTTATTAACTTGCTATTTACTATTTATAAATTGTTGTTGTACATATTATCATTGAAATTCTAATCAAGCATAGCCAGTCGGACGACAAGCTTAAGGCTTGACTGGCAAACGTAATCGAGAAGAATTTAATACAAATTATTATAAAAAAAAAATCTGTTAAAAAAATAAATAAAAACTAGAACAGGGAGGCACAACAATGGAGCAGGAAACGATTTAAAAATAGCTCTTAGCTAAAGCAAAGGTGTTCGGTCACAAAGAGATACAATGTGTGGAGTGTTAATTGCTGGCTTGATTTTTTTTCATTTTATGGGAATTTTTTTGAGTTTGAAGTCTAGCCATAACTTTGGGGGATATGAAAAATTCTCAGTAATTTTAAAATAAAATTTATTTGGGGTGTTCATTGCCGAATAAAAGTTTAATGGTCAAGTTAGCACATACTATTAAAATTGAAATGTATCATAAGCTCCCAAAGTGACAGATCCGTAAATAATTAATTTCCAATAATATTCCATAGTTTACAGGTCGGAATGGTACGAAAGAGGGAGTATTTCAACAATCAGATGGGAGATTTTTAGTTTCCGAAGGAATCCTAAGAGAAACAGACTATTATAATCGCCACCCGATTCTCAAGGCAGACATCAGGAATCTGAGCATAATAATTACGCCATTGAGATTATTTCAAAGTCTCCTAGGAAAAACTTGAGGTGAACTGAAGTGAAGGTCAATGGAACTGTCGGTCTTTTCCTCAAAGGAATAGTAAGCGAAAATGGAGTGATTTTTTCGATAACGAAATTTTTGTTCATCAAATACTTCAAGTTAATCACTCCGAAAATACAGGATGGCAGACAAACCGAAGTGTTATGAATTCCTTATAACTTTTTTATTACAATTCGTTTTTTCTTTCTTTTCAGCATTTTGTAAAGAAGACTTGGTCAATTTATCATGGAGCAATACAGAACTGAGAAACGCGCCTAAATCGTTGAAATTTACTTTTCAAATCAATGGCCCATTGGGTTGACTCAAGGTGCATACCGTCAGTCAACAATAAACCTGGACTGGTTGCAAATTTTCGACGACAAAGAGCAGTAGCAGCAGGAACCTTCTTGGTCCCGGTAGAATACGAACTGTCCACATATTTGACAATGTTCAAGTGGTCCTGCAAGGTTCTCCATTCAATATTCGAATAGATAAGAATAATTGTGTGGTCCCAAGGGACCTCGGTCTTTTCCTCAATGGAATAGTGAGAGACAATTGATTGATTTTAAGGGATAACGAAATTTTTGTTCATCAAATACTTTAAGTTAATCACTCCGAAAATACAGGGTGGCCCAGAAAAACCGAAGTATTGGGAATTCCTTATAACTTTTTTATAATAATTCGTTTTTTACTTTTGTTTTCAGTATTTTGTAAAGGAGACTTGAACAATTTATAATGGAGCAATACACAACTGAACAACGTGCCCGAATCTTTGAAATTTACTTTTCAAATCAACGGTACATTATGTGGATCCAGCGTGCATACCGTCGTCAATTTAATGTGCGGGTTGTAACCTCTCAATCAACAATAAACCTAGTCTGGTTGGAAATTTTCGACAATAAGGACCAGAAAGGAACCCTCCTCATTCCGGTAGAATACGAACTCTCCACACGTTTGACAATTGTCCAGTGGTCGTGCAATGTTCTCCATTCAATATTGGAATAGATAAGAATAATTGTGTTGCTGCGATTTGGTTAAGTTATAGTAGTTTTTGCAGCAATATTTGTAAGTAAAAACAACTAACGAACTTTGAATACCCTCCACTATTTGGAACCAATTTGGAAATTTTCAAAAAAATAAAAAAAAATTAAAATACTGAATATAGCCGTTATATTGGGGTCTATACGAAGAATTGGACCCGCATAGACAACTTTTGTCATAAGCCATTACAATATTCAAATGCGAAACTTGAAAACAAATCGGTGAATGATGTCGCTTTAATCACCAAAATACCGAAAATAGGGAGGTGCCGTTATATCGAGGCTATACGAAGGCCTGGACCTGCACAGAAAATTTTCTAACGCAGACTGTAGTACCTATTAGGAACATTAAATACAAAATCTTAAACAATTTCGGTGTATGTTATGCGCTCCACCATACATAGTATGGAGAGTATATTAAGTTCGTCATTCCGTTTATAACTCATCGAAATAATTTTAGACCAAACAAAGTTTATATATTCTTGATCGCCGTAATATTCTATGACGATTTAGCCCTGTCCGTCCGTCTGTTGTAATCACACTACAGTCGAAACGAATTAAGAAAGGAAGCTAAAGAAGGGCTATATCGGTCCTCGATATCGTTTAGCCCCCATATAACGGTACCCTCTGACATTCGGTATTTTGATGATTTTTTTTCCACATTTTTCAGACGAAATTGTCTGAAAATTTACACAAGAAGTTCCTTGTGGGTATTTTATACCCTAGAAGAGAATTGTGTATATAGGTCCACGATATGGTATAGTCCCCATATAATACCCATATAACGTTTTTTATTTAAGCGGTATTTTTCGACGATTTTTTTTTAATTTTTCAAGTTTCTTCCAAATGGTGGGGGGTATGGAAAGTTCGGCCTGGCTGAAATTAGCTTCTTTTTTAATTGATTTATTGAATATTTGGGGAATTATTGGGCAATTTCCGTGGACTTCAATATTTACATACATATTTTTCAAGTTCTCAAAACCACAATAAGGTCACCATAAAATCCATATGTGTGTCTTCATTGGTCCTCTGCGCTGGCTCAAACGACCAGAAACCACTTGAATGAACGGACGAGTTCTACATTACATACGTACACCCCAAATAAGAAGAATTTTCCAAGGATCCAAATGTCTCAATAAACATGAACTTTTTAAAGAATTTTTGGAGAACTCAAAGACATCAAAAACATGAATTTTTCGAAGATCCAAAGACCTCCATATATTTGGTTTTTTTTTAATTTTTTAGACTTTAGTAAACGATAATTTTTTAAGAATTTTCAAGGCCTCAGAGACCTCAATAAACGTGAACTTTTTAAAGATTTTTTTTCGCGAATTTAAAGACCTTCATAAATGTGGATTTTTTAACATTTTTTAGACTTCAGTAAACGATATTTTTTAAGACTCAAGGGATCACATACCTCAATAAACGTGAACTTTTTATTAAATTTTCGAGGACTCAAAGACCTTCATAAATGTGATTTTTTTAAAGGATTTTTTAATTTTTGAACATTTTCTAAACGACATTAATTTAAGAATTTACCTCAAAACACTGAGTTTTTTAAAGGATTTTCCGAAGACCAAAGACCTCAATAAACGTGGATCCTTCGAAGAAATTTTTGAGGATTCAAAGACGTGGAAATTTAACGAATTTTTTTAAAACCCATATATCTCATGGACGTGGATTTTTTAGAGGATTAAAGTCTTTAATAAACTTGGAATTTTAAATGATTTTTTTTTTCGAGAACTCATAGACCTCTATGAACGTGGATTTTTTAAAGAATTTTTGATGGACCCATAGAACTCAGTAAACGAGGATGTTTTAAAGAATTTTCAGAGTAAAAATATACTTCTATAAATCCCCCAACAATGGGGTATTTTAAAAAGAATATTTAAGAATTCAAAGACCCCAACAAAAGGGGATTTTGAAAAGAATTTTCAGGGAGTCAAAAACTTAATAAAACATGGATTTTTTAAGAATTTTCAGAGGACTCACAGATCTGGATTTTTATGAGATTTTCTGAGGATTGAAATATATGAATAATCTTGATTTTTTCAGGAATTTTTGCAGACTCATAAACCTGGATTTTTTAAAGAATTTTTCGTAGATCCCTTGGCCGAAATAAACGTGGATTTTCGCGGACCCATAGACCTCAATATACTTGGACATTTTAAATAATTTTTCAAAGGCCCACAGACCTCAATAAGTCCTCAAGATGTCTTATAAACCTCTATAAACGTGGATTGGAACAGTGTCGGAATGTTTGTTCGGGATACCGTAGTATTTTGTTGTTGCAAAACAGTCAGAATTTTCAGAGGACTCAAAGTCCTCATAAACGTGGATTTTTCATGAATTTGATTGATTGATTCAAAGACCACCATAACAAATATCAATAAACTTGAATTTTAAAAGGATTTTCGAGGACCTCAATAGACGTCGATTTTTTGAAGGACCCATACATTCAAATAAAAGTGGATTTTTTAAAGAATTTTCAGAGCATCCATAGACCTCTATAAAGGTTTATTCTTTAAAGCATTTTTCGAAGCCCCATAGACCTCTATAAACGTGTTTTTTTTTTTAAAGTATTCTTCGGACCCCCCATAGACCTCTATAAACGTTGGTTTTTTTAAGCATTTTGCAAAGACGTAACGAATTTTTCAAGAACTTAAAGACCTCAAAAACGTAGATTTTTTAACGAATTTTTCAAGGACCCAAAGACCTCAAAAAACCTGGATTTTTAAAGAATTTTCAGAAGAAGTAACGTTTTAAAGAAGACTCAAAAACCTCCATAAACGTGAATTTGAAAAAAATCGAGGACCTATTGATTTCAATAAACGTGGAATTTATCCAGAACTCAAAAGATCTCAAAAGTGTGGATTTTTTTAAAGAATTGTTCAAGTACCCATTGACCTCAATAAACGTGGACTTTAAAAAACAAATCAAAGCACCCATAGACCTAAATAAACGCAAATTTTTTTTAAGGATTTTTAAGGGATTTTTTTTGGATTTTCTAGAGGTTTTTTGGATTTTTTCGCGAATTTTCAAGGACACATAGAACTCAATAAACGTGAATTTTTTAAAGACCCAAAGACCTCAATAAACGTGGATTTTTAAAAAAACGTGGATTTTTCAAAGAATTTTTCAAGTACCCATAGACTTCAAAAAACGTGGATTTTGTAAGGACTCATAGACTTCAAAAAAAAGTAAATTTTTTAAAGAAATTTTCAACTACCCATATCCCCCTAAAAATGTGTTTTTTAAGAATTTGTCAAGGATCCACAGACTTCAAAAAAAGTGGATTTTTTCAAAGAATTTTTCAAGTACCCATATCTCTCTAAAAATCTGACTTCAAAAAAAGTGGAATTTTTTAAGAATTTTTCAAGTACCCATAGACTTTAAAAAAAGTGGATTTTTTTCAAGAATTTTTCGAGGACCCACATTCCTGAATTTTTTAAAGAAATTTTCAGAGGACCCACAGACTTCAATAACAGTGGATTTTTACAGAATTTGATAAATATACATAGTCCTGAATAATCGAGGACTTTTAAAAAAAAAAAAATTTAGAGGACTCAAAGGCCTTATTAAATGTGGATTTTTGAGAAGCCTCTTGAAACTTAGAGACCACACTAAAGGCAGATTTTAAATGAATTTTTAAAAAAAAATGGAGACGAACTTTTAAGAACTCTTGTGGACTACCAATAAATGCTGGTTTTTAAATTAATTTTTTCAGGGCTCAAATATATCACTTAACCTTGACTTTAAGGATTTTTCAGGGACACATACTTTTCCAGGACTCATTGAATTTTTTATGTATTTTTTGTGGACTCAAAGACTTCAATCGGTATGGATTTTTTAAAGAATTCTACTGAGGCTCTTAAGCTCTTTATCAACTTTTTTTGAACTTACCCACAGTTAGCGAAGCCTTTCCCATGCCATCCAAGGGATATTCCAATAAATGCCCCGTAATATTATAATCTCCACTTAAAACTAGCTTTGGTACCACACATTTGGCCAATATGCTCAAGGGTTTCGGCTTGAAACTGCAATGTGGGAAATTTTAAAATTTCAAATGATTATGAGTTTAATTTTCAAAATTCCATCGCTTTAATTATCTTACCTAGCCTCTGTACACTGGGCATCGCTGATGCCCTCCATTGTAACATTTGTCAATTCCAAATGAATGCCAATCGGACTCAGTGGGTCACCATCGACAAGGATGCGTTGAATTTCCAAGGGATCTATGGCATTGACTGTACGCAGGCCGGGAACGCCTAGAGGGGATTTTATGTTAAAATTTTAGGTGTCGATATTTTTCAAAATTTCCCTTTACCATTTTTCCATTCCTTGAGAATATTTCCAACATTTTTGGAGAGACAACTGGCAAAACTGTTGCCACTGACACTACATGGCTCCAAGAAGTCAGCTGGAATTGGAAAATCAATATTTTTGTTATTAAAACCCTATTTTCAAAATTTCTCATATTTTCCCATATTTCAAAAACAACTTTCAAAATTCCACTTACGTTTTTCGAGCAAATATTTCTCAGCACCCACCACACAAACAGCCAACAACAATGTCACACAAACTATTCGCATCATTTTTCTATTTTGAATATCTCTTTTATTTTTTTTTAGTTCCAATTAATTCCAACCACCGAATACTTATTTAAATTCAAAACAACTGATCCGTCGAAAGCTTCTGTGTGAACTGTTTAAACGAAGTTCTTAATTTGAAGCTCGACAAAAATTAATTTGTAATATGACAAAGCCAATCAAAATAGAAAACAAATTAAAAATCAAAAAAAAAGATTCAAACTTGTTTCGCCGATTTTTTTTTGGTGGCTGTCGTCGTCGGCATCTGTTATGGACCGTGAACAATAACGATGGCGCCAGTATCGAAAACAAAAGAAGGTATTCAAAAAAAAAAAAAAAAAGATTCAAAATATTTCGATTCTAAAGTAGAATTTTGAATACTCTACTTGATGTATGGAAAATGGCGCCCAATCGTGGAAATTTCACTAGGCAAATATATGGCGCCCAATCAAAAGTTTTTCATTCGTGCATTTTTTAAAGAATTTCCATAGCACCCATACCCAATAAACGTGGATTTTTTAAAGAATTTTCAAAGGACCTATAGATCTCGATAATCAAGGATTTTTTAAAGAATTTTCAGAGGATCCATAGACTTCATTAAACGTGGATTTTTTAAGGAATTTTCAGAGGACCCATACATCTCAATAATCCAGGATTTTTAAAGAATTTTCAGAAGACTCATAGACTTCAATAAACGTGGATTTTTTTAAGGATTTTTGAAGGACCCATAGACCTCAATAATCCAGGATATTTTAAAGGATTTTCAGAGGACCCATAGTCTTCAATAAACGTGGATTTTTTAAAGAATTTTCAGAGGACCCATAGTCTTCAATAAACGTGGATTTTTTAAAGAATTTTCAGAGGACCTACGTGGATTTTAAAAAAAATTCAGAGGACCCTTAGACTTCAATAAACGTGGATTTTTTAAAGAATTTTTAGAGGACCCATAGACTTTTATAAACTTTGATTTTTTAAAGAATTTCCAGAGGACCCATAGACTTCAATAAACGTGGATTTTTTAAGGAATTTTTAGAGGACCCATAGACTTTTATAAACTTTGATTTTTTAAAGAATTTCCAGAGGACCCATAGACTTCAATAATCGTGGATTTTTTAAAGAATTTTCAGAGGACCCATAGACTTCAATAAACGTGGATTTTTTAAAGAATTTTCAGAGGACCCATAGACTTCAATAATCCAGAATTTTGTTAAGAATTTTCGGAGGACCCATAGACTTCAATAAACGTGGATTTTTTAAAGAATTTTCAGAGGTCCCATAGACCTAAATAATCCAGGATTTTTTTAAGAATTTTCAGAGGACCCATTGACTTAAAAAAAAACCTGGATTTTTTAAAGGATTTCAATGGACCCATAGACTTCAATAAACGTGGATATTTTAAAGAAATTGCAGAAGACCCATAGACCTCAATAAACGTGGATTTTTTAAAGAATTTTCAGAGGACCCATAAACCTCAATAAACGTGGATTTTTTAAAGAATTTTCAGAGGACCCATAAACCTTAATAAACGTGGATTTTTTAAAGAATTTTCTGAGGACCCATAGACCCAAGCGTGAATTTTTTAAAGGATTTTCAGAGGACCCATAGGCTTCAATAAACGTGGATTTTTTAAAGGATTTTCAGAGGACCCAAAGATTTCAATAAACGTGGATTTTTTAAAGAATTTTCAGAGGACCCATAGGCTTCAATAATCGCGGATTTTTTAAAGAATTTTCAGAGGACCCATAGACTTCAATAAACGTGGATTTTTTTAAGAATTTTCAGAGGGCCCATTAACCTCAATAATCCAAAATATTGTTAAGAATTTTCAGAGGACCCATAGACTTCAAAAAACGTGGATTTTTTTAAAGAATTTTCAGAGGACCCATAGACTTCAATAAACGTAGATTTTTTAAAGAGTCGTCAGAGGACCCATAGACTTTAAAGGATTTTCAGAGGGCCCATACACTTAAATAAACGTGGATTTTTTAAAGAATTTTCTCGAGGATCCACAGACCTCAAAAATACAGAATTGTTTAAAGAATTTTCTTGAGGACCCATAGACCCCACTAAACGTGGAATTTTTAAAGAATTTTCAGAGGATGCATAGACCTCAATAATCCGGGAATTTTTAAAGAATTTTCAGAGGACCCATAGACTTCAATAAACGTGAACTTTTTAAAGAATTTTTAAAGGTCTCAAAGTCTCCAATTTTAGAACCGCTTCGATGCCTTCTTATCGCTGCCAAAGCGATATAGGCAGATCTCTCTTCGCGTAGGGTACAACTCCCCCCTCTCCAAAATTAGTATTGTTCTAATTTATTGACGTATTTTGGATCACAACAAAATACCATGAAATCATGATCATTATCTTTGGTTTGGTTCTGCAGTACCCAGAACACAACAACAACCACAGCAGAAACGATGAAAAAGTGTGAATCTCGAACCGGTACCGGTTCAGTTAAGTGTTGATTAATTGTGCCCCCTTAGAACCGGAGATTCTGAATTTTTTTTGGAAATACAATTACTTGTTTATTGAACAGTTAGTTAGAACTGACAATTGTGTTTGAAACCAAATACCAAATTGAGGTGTTCAAAATTAATTAACCATGGAATGCAGCCAGATGGGTATATTATTTGAAAAAAGGAATTTCCGAATGGAGAATTTTTAGGAATTAGATAATAAAATCACAGGCTGGGGTGTAGGGGAAGGTGAATTCCGATTTCTCACACATATCCACGTTTATTGAAGTGGATGGGTCCTCTGAAAATTCTGAAAACTCTATGGATGCTCTGAAAATTCTTTAAAAAATCCACGTTTAATGAAGTCTATGGGTCCTCTGAAAATTCTTTAAAAAATCCACGTTTATTGAGGTCTATGGGTCCTCTGAAAATTCTTTAAAAAATTGTTTAAAAAATTCTTTAAAAAATTGAAGTCTATGGGTCCTCTGAAAATTCTTTAAAAAATCCACGTTTAATGAAGTCTATGGGTCCTCTGAAAATTCTTTAAAAAATCCACGTTTATTGAGGTCTATGGGTCCTCTGAAAATTCTTTAAAAAATTGTTTAAAAAATTCTTTAAAAAATTGAAGTCTATGGGTCCTCTGAAAATTCTTTAAAAAATCCACGTTTATTGAAGTCTATGGGTCCTCTGAAAATTCTTTAAAAAATCCACGTTTATTGAAGTCTATGGGTCCTCTGAAAATTCTTTAAAAAATCCACATTTATTGAAGTCTATGGGTCCTCTGAAAATTCTTTAAAAAATCCACGTTTATTGAAGTCTTTGGGTCCTCTGAAAATTATTTAAAAAATCCTGGATTATTGAGGCCTATGGATCCTTTGACAATTATTTAAAAAATCCACGTTTATTGAAGTCTATGGGTCCTCTGAAAATTCTTTAAAAAATCCACGTCCATGTGGCCTTGAAAAAATTTAAAAAAAATCTTTAAAAAATGCCAAAGTTATTGAGATCTTTTAATTCTCTGAAAATTCTTCTCAAATATTCTTTAAATTTATTAAAAAACAACGTTTATTGAGAAAATTATTGAAAAAATCTAGAAAATCTCGATTGGGCGCCACGCATTTCCTAGTGAATCACCCACGATTGGGCGCCATTTTTGCCCATTTTCATAAATCATGTAGAGTATTCATTTCATTTTATTCAAAATATTATCTTCTTTTCTTTTCGATAACTGAAGTTTTTTTATAATGCCCTTAAGTCCTGCTACTCCAACCCCTTGCAATGAATATTCTCGTTGATCATGAATTAAAAATGCAATTTATTTCCAAAATTATTCTCCACATATTCCTAGCAAACATGCCAAGTTATTTTTATTAACCCAAAAATACAAAATTCAATTAACAAAATTATATGTTGACCTGGTTTTTTCGACTCAGAACACCAACTGAGTAACATCAACATAAAAACCAACTCCCCTTGGTAATCAGCCACGCTTTGGCCGGCCGGGGCTGGGAAACAAGGAAAGAAAATTAACTTTAGTGGAATGCCATTAAAAATTACAACTTCACAGAAAAAAAAACGCCAACTACATACCAAAGCTCCCAAAGTTGGGGCGGGGGTGTCGTGGAGGCTTAACATGCAATATTCCGTATGTCCTGCATATGACCCACATAGAAACAAACAAAATTTATTAAACCCTCCCCAAGTAAAGATGAAAAATTAATTTTTCAAAATTGCATTTTATGGCCGGCTAAAAACACATACTTTCAAACCGGAATAATACATAAACGAAATCCTCAATGCATTCTGGTCAGAAAGTTCACAACATAAAAATATATCACAACACCAACCACACCTCAGCAACTCCCCCCGCCTGCTGTTGGGGATGGTGATGGGTGGGTGGCCAAGCCCAGCAATAAAACACAGCAACAGCAGCTAATAAAGTAAACAACAACACACCTGGCCTTTGGATGTAGGTGTGTGTGTTTGTGTAGAAATGTAGAAGGATGCAACTTTCCGAAAAAAACCCATCCAATTTTCCAAAGTTTTTCTTTTTTGGAAAATTAGAAATGGAATATCAAATTATGTTTACGAGAGGCTAAAGTTTTTTTATGGCATATTTATGATAGTATTATGGCAAAGTTGCAATAAACTATGAAATATTAGAAACATTTATGGTAAGGGGGTGTTTTAGTGGCGTGGCAGGGAGGTCAGCTTTATTTTAGAAGGTTTCCAGGTGGTCTTCTTTTGGAAAAGAAGAAAAAAGAACGGCCATGTTCCTTTTTGATAGTTGAAAAGCTCTAAATATTCAGATCCAATTTGCTTTCCTTGGGGATGGGGGATAGGTCATAAGAAAAAATGGAAAAATTCTAAAGAACACGTATGAATCAAGTAGTCGAAGTTGTGGCGCCCAAATCTCTAAACAGCAAAATTCTACAGCTGTTGGACCCTATCGTGGGCTCCAAACAGATTATAATTTTAGAATCCAATAGAAACATTTTAGCACCCAAAAATTGTAGGATTTAAGTACACATATTCAAAAGACCAACCATGAAGCTTTAATAGCGCCCCTATGGCGCCCAATAGCAAGAGTTAAAAACCCAAATTCATGGCGGCCAATCGTATCTTTAAACAGGAAAATTCTAAAGTGGTGCTACATGGCGTCCAACATTTAATTGGACTAATTTCCTGAGGACCCAATTGAGGATTTTTAAGGGTATTTCAGAGGAGTCAAAGACCCCAATAAACGTGGATTTTTAAAGATTTTTTTTAGGACTCCAGAATGTCAATAAAAGTGGATTTTTTAGCAGATTTTCAGAGGACTCAAAGGGACGTGTATTTTTTAAAGAATTTTCAGGGGACCTATAGACTTCAATAAACGTGGATTTAAAAAAAATCAAGGAACCTATAGGCTTTAATAAACGTGGTTTTTTTTAAAACAAATTTCAGAGGACCTATAGACTTTAATAAAGGAGGATTTTTTAAAGAATTTTCAGGCTTCAATAAACGGATAATTTAAAAAAAAAATCAGGGGACCTATAGACCTTAATAAACTGGGATTTTTTTGAAAGAATTTTCGGAGGACCCATAGACTTCATTAAAGGAGGATTTTTTAAAGAATTTTCAGGCTTCAATAAACGCGGATTTTTTTAAGGACCCACCTAACTCCATAAACGTGGGTTTTTAAAGAATTGTTTAAGGAACACTAGACCTCAACAAACGTGGATTTTCTTTAAGAATTTTTAAAGGACTCGCAAACCTCCATAAGAGTGTATTTTTAAAGAATTTTCAAACTCGAAATCCTCAATAAATTATGGGTACTCAAAATAGACAATTCCATGGAACCCAAGGGTGAGATTTACAATAAACATGGCGCCCAATCAGCTGGACAAATTAATGGCGTCCAATTGTGGGTATTCTAATACATAAATCGTCGGTTCTCGAATAGACCTGAATAAAAGTGGATTTTTTAAAGAATTTTTTAAGGACCCACAGACCTCTTTAAACTTGGATTTTTTAAAGAATTTTCAGAGGACCAAAAGACTTCAAGAAACGTGGATTTTTTAAAGAATTTTCAGAAGACCCATAGACTTTAATAAACGTGGATTTTTTAAAGAATTTTCAGAAGACCCATAGACTTCATGAAACGTGAATTTTTTAATAAATTTTCAGAGGACCCATAGACTTCAATAAAAGTGGATTTTTTAAAGAATTTTCAGAGGACTCATAGACTTCAAAAAAAGTGGATTTTTTAATGAATTTTCAGAGGACCCATAGCCTTCAATAAACGTGCATTTTTTAAAGAATTTTTAGAGGACCAAAGGACCTCAATATACGAGGATGTTTTAAAGAATTTTCAGAGGACCCATAGAATTTAATAAACGTGGATTTTTTAAAGAATTTTTTTAAGAACCCATAGAATTTAATAAACATGGATTTTTTAAAGAATTTTTTTAAGAACCCATAGACTTCAATAAACGTTGATTTTTTTAAGAATTTTCAGAGGACCCATAGACTTCAATAAACGTGGAGTTTTTAAAGAATTTTTTAAGGACCCATAGACTTCAATAAACGTTGATTTTTTTAAGAATTTTCAGAGGACCCATAGACTTCAATAAACGTGGATTTTTTAAAGAATTTTCAGAGGACCCATAGACTTCAAAAAACGTGGATTTTTTAAAGATTTTTTGGGACCCATAGACTTTTATAAACGTGGATTTTTTAAGAATTTTCAGAGGATCCATAAAATGGATTTTTTAATGAATTTTCAGAGGACTCAATAAACGTGGATTTTTTAATGAATTTTCAGAGGACTCAATAAACGTGGATTTTTTAAAGAATTTTCAGAGGACTCAATAAACGTGGATTTTTTAAAGAATTTTCAGAGGACTCAATAAACGTGGATTTGTTAAAGAATTTTCAGAGGACTCAATAAACGTGGATTTTTTAAAGAATTTTCAGAGGACTCAATAAACGTGCATTTTTTAAAGAATTTTCAGAGGACTCAATAAACGTGGATTTTTAAAAGAATTTTCAGAGGACCCATAGACTTCAATAAACGTGGATTTTTTAAAGAATTTTCAGAGGACCCATAGACTTTAATAAACGTGGATTTTTTAAAGAATTTTCAGAGGACCTATAGACTTCAATAAACGTGGATTTTTTAAAGAATTTTCAGAGGACCTATAGACTTTAATAAACGTGGATTTTTTAAAGAATTTTCAGAGGACCCATAGACTTCAATAAATGTGGATTTTTTAAAGAATTTTCAGAGGCCTCAATAAACGTGGATTTTTAAAGAATTTTCAAAGGACCCATTTACTTCAAAAAACCTGGATTTTTTAAAGAATTTTCAGAGGACCCATAGACTTCAATAAATGTGGATTTTTTAAGAATTTTCAGAGGTCTCAATAAACGTGGATTTTTAAAGAATTTTCAGAGGACTCAATAAACGTGGATTTTTAGAGAATTATTTTAAGGACCCATATACCTCAATAAACGTGGATTTTTAATTTCATATAATTCAATAAACGGATTTTTTAAAGAATATTCAGAGGACTCGTAGATTTCATTAAATGTGGAGTTTCTAAAGAATTTTCAGAGCACCCATAGACTTGAATAAACGTGGATTTTTTAAAGAATTTTCAGAAGACCCATAGACTTCAATAAACGATTTTTTAAAGAATTTTCAGAGGACCCATAGACTTTAATAAATGTGGATTATTTAGAAAATTTTCAGAGGACTCAAAAACCTCAATAAAGGTGGATTTTTAACAAATTTTCAGAGGACACATAAACGTATATTTTCTTAAAGAAATTTCTGAGTATCCACAAACGTGAATTTTTTTAAAAAAAAATTTCAGAGGATCCATAAACGTGGATTTTTTAATAAAATTTCAGAGTATCCATAAACGTGGAGTTTTTAAAGAATTTTTTGAGGGCCCACAGACCTCAATAATCGTGGAATTCTAAAGAATTCTTTTCTATTGAAATTTCTCAGAAATTAAAGACCTCTATAAAGAATTTCTCAAAGACCCAAAGTCAATATAAAACATAATTTTTTTTTTCCAGAATTTTGGCTGATAGGAAAAATCGCAATAAATCTGTATTTCTAAAGAATTATGACAGGACTACAGAACTTAAGTAAACGGACATTTGTAAGGCATTTTGGTCCTTGAAAAAAGAAATTCTTTAAAAAATCCGCGTTTCTTCAACTGATCCACGTTTCTTCACGTTTCTGATTCTTTAAAATATCCGCGTTTCTTGGTCTGAACAAATATTTAAAAAAAATTCATATTTCTTCGTGTGATGGTACTTGATTTTTTTTTTTTTTTTTTTTTTTTTTTTTTGTAAGTTCCTGTCACATCTCATCACAACAACCGAATTCTGACACCGATGACAACTTTTTCAAAACTTTCCAACAGCCAAACAACCATCGATGAATCTGCAGTGGATTCACGGCACTTGACGTTGACACAATGACATACCGAAGACCGATATTTGAAATTTCAAACAAATATTTAAAGACCCAAAAGCCATGGCAGAGTTCCGTAGAAATTTTGATAATTTAACGGTATTTAAAACTACTGTCAAACAGAAACTTTTATCTGTCTCCCTGTCGTGGGAGGTTGGGAGAATTTGAGTTCATAGTTGGTTGGGCACGGGAAATTTAGTTGTTAAAATATTCAAAATGTTTTGACGGGTTTTAGAATAAATAAAGTGATGGGAAAAGTTTTTTGCTGTTGGGAAAATATTTTGACACTTTGAAGGTGGGAAAGATAGTTGTGAAGATAGTTGAAACCGGGAGAGATTGTTTCTCAAAACATCACAGAATGAGATAGCAGTAATGGTTTGGAGGTCAAATGGAATGATAAATGTGTTGAGGACCTTAGAGCCAACCTTGCTGCCATTCTGGGCAAAATAACAACTCAGAGGATTTATTTCCGAAATAAAAGTCTATTGGTCTTGTTATACTTTAATTTTCTTTTATTTTAAAAATTTTCACTTCAATACCGAACTTATAACCGAATTCTGATTTGGTATGTTATGCTTCTGAAAGAGGGTTCTCTACTCCTCTCCCTCTCTCTACTCTGTCTCTCTCACCTCCTTATGGTATGGTATCCCAATCCATATCCCAGCCCAGGGCATCACTAATCACACCCTTCAACTGATCCAGCGGAACACCCAAATGATACAGGGTCACCGTAAGTTCCTTGTAGGCTGGGACATTATTTCTCAAACGTTTAACAATTCGCTCAAATTCCTTCGATTTCATGCTGGTCACTTCTCGCAACAGCTGATCATCGGTGGAGATTAAGTGAGCATATAAATCTCTCAATTTTTGTCGCGGGATTACCGATTGAATTTTATATATAAGACCTCTGATGCCGGTCTCTGGTGCCCTGCGAAGGAAATTCCGGGAAACATAGTGGCCATCCTGTTGCAAATCCAGATGTAGGACATTACACACAAAGGAATTGAAAATGTTGTACTCCTCGGAGCTGCGTATGAGGGCGACCTTTTCCTTGTAGTCAGCAGATTCGATGTAATCTTTTAGGGCCTTGAATTCAGGATCATCGGCAAAGGATTTAACGATTTGTTTAACACTGTCCCAGGGTATAAGTTTCCGCGATTGGTTGAAGAGGTTTGCCAAGCCTTTGCTGGAGTCCCCTGTACATTTGCCTAAAAATAAAAATTATAAAAAAAAATATTTTTAGAAAATTCACGTTTGTTTGAGACTTGAAAAAATATTTATTTAAAACAATCCCCATTTGTTAAGGACTTGAAAAAAACATTTTTTAAAAAATCCACGTTTGTCGGAGACTTGAAAAAATAATTTTTAAAAAGTTCACGTTTGTTTAGGAATTGAAAAAATAATTTTTAAAAAGTTCACGTTTGTTTAGGAATTGAAAAAAATTATTTTTAAAAAATCCACGTTTGTTTAGGAATTGAAAAAATAATTTTTAAAAAATCCTCGTTTGTTTAGGAATTGAAAAAATAATTTTTAAAAAGTTCACGTTTGTTTAGGAATTGAAAAAAATTATTTTTAAAAAATCCACGTTTGTTTAGGAATTGAAAAAATAATTTTTAAAAAATCCACGTTTGTTTAGAAATTAAAAAAATAATTTTTAAAAAATCCACGTTTGTTTAGGAATTGAAAAAATAATTTTTAAAGAATCCTCGTTTGTTTAGGAATTGAAAAAATAATTTTTAAAAAGTTCACGTTTGTTTAGGAATTGAAAAAAATTATTTTTAAAAAATCCACGTTTGTTTAGGAATTGAAAAAATAATTTTTAAAAAATCCACGTTTGTTTAGGAATTAAAAAAATAATTTTTAAAAAAATCCACGTTTGTTTAGGAATTCAAAAAATAATTTTTAAAAAAATCCACGTTGGTTTAGGAATTAAAAAAAATAATTTTTAAAAAAATCCACGTTTGTTTAGGAATTCAAAAAATAATTTTTAAAAAAATCCACGTTTGTTTAGGAATTCAAAAAATAATTTTTAAAAAAATCCACGTTGGTTTAGGAATTAAAAAAAATAATTTTTAAAAAAATCCACGTTTGTTTAGGAATTCAAAAAATAATTTTTAAAAAAATCCACGTTTGTTTAGGAATTCAAAAAATAATTTTTAAAAAATCCACGTTTGTTTAGGAATTCAAAAAATAATTTTTAAAAAAATCCACGTTTGTTTAGGAATTCAAAAAATAATTTTTAAAAAAATCCACGTTTGTTTAGGAATTCAAAAAATAATTTTAAAAATCCACGTTTGTTTGTGACTTGAAAAAATAGTTTTTAAAAAATCCACGTTTGTTTAGGAATTCAAAAAATAATTTTTAAAAAAATCCACGTTTGTTTAGGAATTCAAAAAATAATTTTTTTTAAAATCCACGTTTGTTTAGGAATTCAAAAAATATTTTTTTTTTTAAATCCACGTTTGTTTAGGAATTCAAAAAATATTTTTTTTTTTTAAATCCACGTTTGTTTAGGAATTCAAAAAATATTTTTTTTTTAAATCCACGTTTGTTTAGGAATTCAAAAAATATTTTTTTTAAAATCCACGTTTGTTTAGGAATTCAAAAAATATTTTTTAAAAAATCCACGTTTGTTTTGGAATTCGAAAAATAATTTTTAAAAAATCCACGTTTGTTTAGGAATTCAAAAAATAATTTTTTTAAAATCCACGTTTGTTTAGGAATTCAAAAAATAATTTTTTTAAAATTCATGTTTGTTTAGGAATTCCAAAAATAATTTTTAAAAAATTCACGTTTGTTTAGGAATTTCAAAAATAATTTTTTAAAAAATCCACGTTTGTTTAGGAATTCCAAAACTAATTTTTAAAAAATCCACGTTTGTTTAGGAATTCAAAAAATATTTTTTTAAAAAATCCACGTTTGTTTAGGAATTCAAAAAATATTTTTTTAAAAAATCCACGTTTGTTTAGGAATTTAAAAAATAATTTTTTAAAAAATCCACGTTTGTTTAGGAATTCAAAAAATAATTTTTAAAAAATCCACGTTTGTTTAGGAATTCAAAAAATAATTTTTAAAAAATCCACGTTTGTTTAGGAATTCAAAAAATAATTTTTAAAAAATCCACGTTTGTTTAGGAATTCAAAAAATAATTTTTAAAAAATCCACGTTTGTTTAGGAATTCAAAAAATAATTTTTAAAAAATCCACGTTTGTTTAGGAATTCAAAAAATAATTTTTAAAAAATCCACGTTTGTTTAGGAATTCAAAAAATAATTTTTAAAAAATCCACGTTTGTTTAGGAATTCAAAAAATAATTTTTAAAAAATCCACGTTTGTTTAGGAATTCAAAAAATAATTTTTAAAAAATCCACGTTTGTTTAGGAATTCAAAAAATAATTTTTAAAAAATCCACGTTTGTTTAGGAATTCAAAAAATAATTTTTAAAAAATCCACGTTTGTTTAGGAATTCAAAAAATAATTTTTAAAAAATCCACGTTTGTTTAGGAATTCAAAAAATAATTTTTAAAAAATCCACGTTTGTTTAGGAATTCAAAAAATAATTTTTAAAAAATCCACGTTTGTTTAGGAATTCAAAAAATAATTTTTAAAAAATCCACGTTTGTTTAGGAATTCAAAAAATAATTTTTAAAAAATCCACGATTGTTTAGGAATTCAAAAAATAATTTTTAAAAAATCCACGTTTGTTTGAGACTTGAAAAAATATTTCCCCCATTTTGTTGCCTTAACCATAAAAGTCCCGGCCTCCTTTCCCTCCAAATTTGAAATAAAACTAAATTTCGACTTTTTTTTCATTTTTCTATTTTAGACTGTTGTCAAAGGTGTCGAGGGTTTATTGGCTTTTATGGATTTGGTTAACAAAATAGGGGTCTTTACAAGTATCGGTTTACCTTTTTTACCAACTGCCTTGACAACAAATTCATTTTCCCCAGCAATATCATCCCACACCGGTTGCCAATTGATCTTCACATGATGTAGATCCTCCAGAGAACGATCGAATACTTCCAATGTTTCAGGCGATTCCAGGGACTCATGGGATTCCAGCGACTTTGTACGATACCATATGCCGGCTGCCAGGATTTGGGGGATGACCAACAGGAGCAGGGCAAAAATTTTAAAATTCAACATGATTGACTCAGAATTCTGTTAAAACGTCAGTGGAAGCCAGCTTATCCAGAACTGTTGGAAGTTTTGTAAATGGAAATAACTTTTATACCTTGCCCCGAATGTGGGTCATTTGGTCTGTCGTTGTTGGCTTCTTTGTGTTTGGGCTCCTTAGGGACTTTTCTTTTTTTTTTCTTCGGAATATTGAGACAAAGATTTGAGTTCTTTGGCAAAAATGGGAATTGATTTTAAATTAATGCCGGTGATTATGAATTGGAAGCTAAAAATAACCAAAGGTTGAATGACAAGATTTTTTGGATGCAATCTGCAGCTCAATGCAGCTTCATGAAATTTTTAGTGGAATGACGTGTTCCATAAATCCATTTATCATTTCAGGGTGACTGAGGTGGTATCCTGGTCGTCTTCAGGGCCAACAGAAATTATGCAACACATAGAAAAATTAACAACAGCTAACATTGTTTTTTGTGGCCGCCACTCACCCCCAGTTCCACTTTCCCCTCCAGCCAAACAATGACATCTCCTAATGAGGATTAATATTTGCCTTAATCAAACTTGTCTATTACAACCATCAACCACCCTGCTCCTTCTCCTTACAACCCCTCCCTTACATATTTTATATGGGTCACAATGACCACCACCTCCATTGTTCTCCTTCCTTAGAAATAGTTTGATGTCCCATTTCTTGTTGGGCCGAAATTAATTGACATGCGGCGAAACCCCCCTCTTCTCTTATCACAAATGATGGAATCACCAAAGTTCCTTAAGGCAAATAATCAGCGACGTCTGGGTGTGTCTTTAATAAATTGTTGGTCACATTGAAATATTCACATTTCCTAGAGGAGACCTAGACCTAGAAATCAAAAAACCCTGGGAAATGTCTGTATCAAAACAAACATAACTTCTTTTGGTAACTTTAACTTTTGAATTTTTTAAAATTATTTTTTGAAGTCTATAACAAACGTGGATTTTTTAAAAATAATTTTTTGAATTCCCAAACAGTCTTGGATTTTTTAAAAATTATTTTTTGAATTCCTAAACAAACGTGGATTTTTTAAAAATTATTTTTTGAATTCCTAAACAAACGTGGATTTTTTTATAAATAATTTTTTTAAGTCTCAAACAAACGTGGATTTTTTAAAAATTATTTTTTGAAGTCTCAAACAAACGTGGATTTTTTAAAAATTATTTTTTCAAGTCTCAAACAAACGTGGATTTTTTAAAAAAAATATTTTTTCAAGTCTCAAACAAACGTGGATTTTTTAAAAAAATATTTTTTCAAGTCTCAAAAAAAAGTGGATTTTTTAAAAATTATTTTTTCAAATCTAAAACAGACGTGGATTTTTTAAAAAATATTTTTTCAAATCTAAAACAGACGTGGATTTTTTAAAAAATATTTTTTCAAATCTAAAACAGACGTGGATTTTTTAAAAATTATTTTTTCAAGTCTCAAACAAACGTGAATTTTTTAAAAATTATTTTTTCAAGTCTCAAACAAACGTGAATTTTTTAAAAATTATTTTTTCAAGTCTCAAACAAACGTGAATTTAAAAATTGTTTTTCCAAGTTATTTACAAACGTTGATTTTTTAAAAATTATTTTTTCAAGTCTCAAACAAACGTGGACTTTTTAAAAATTATTTTTTCAAGTCTCAAACAAACGTGGATTTTTTTAAAATTATTTTTTCAAATCTCAAACAAACGTAGATTTTTTAAAAATTATTTCTTGAATTCCTAAACAAACGTGGATTTTTTAAAAATTATTTTTTGAATTCCTAAACAAACGTGGATTTTTTAAAAATTATTTTTTGAATTCCTAAACAAACGTGGATTTTTAAAAAATTATTTTTTGAATTCCTAAACAAACGGGGATTTTTTAAAAATTATTTTTTGAATTACTAAACAAACGTGGATTTTTTAAAAATTATTTTTTGAATTCCTAAACAAACGTGGATTTTTTAAAAATTATTTTTTGAATTCCTAAACAAACGTGGATTTTTTAAAAATTATTTTTTGAATTCCTAAACAAACGTGGATTTTTTAAAAATTATTTTTGAATTCCTAAACAAACGTGGATTTTTTAAAAATTATTATTTGAATTCCTAAACAAACGTGGATTTTTTAAAAATTATTTTTTGAATTCCTAAACAAACGTGGATTTTTTAAAAATTATTTTTTGAATTCCTAAACAAACGTGGATTTTTTAAAAATTATTTTTTCAAGTTATTTACAAACGTGGATTTTTTAAAAATTATTTTTTCAAGTTTCAAACAAACGTGGATTTTTTAAAAATTATTTTTTCAAGTTTCAAACAAACGTGGATTTTTTAAAAATTATTTTTTCAAGTTTCAAACAAACGTGGATTTTTTAAAAATTATTTTTTCAAGTTTCAAACAAACGTGGATTTCTTAAAAATTATTTTTTCAAGTTTCAAACAAACGTGGATTTTTTAAAAATTATTTTTTCAAGTTTCAAACAAACGTGGATTTTTTAAAAATTATTTTTTCAAGTTTCAAACAAACTTGGATTTTTTAAAAATTATTTTTTCAAGTTTCAAACAAACGTGGATTTTTTAAAAATTATTTTTTCAAGTTTCAAACAAACTTGGATTTTTTAAAAATTATTTTTTCAAGTTTCAAACAAACGTGGATTTTTTAAAAATTATTTTTTCAAGTTTCAAACAAACGTGGATTTTTTAAAAATTATTTTTTCAAGTTTTTTTTAATTAAATTTGACTTGTTTCAATTTCAGGCAAATGCACTTTATACTCCGGCGAAGGCTTGGCACACCTCTTCGAAAACGAATGCCCTTTAACAGTGTTGAACATATCGTTAAATCCTATGCCGATGATCCTGAATTCAAGGCCCTAAAAGCCTACATCGAGTCTCCGGACTACAAAGAAAAGGTCGCCCTGATACGCAGCTCCGAGGAGAACAAAATTTTCATTTCCTTTGTTGTAATGTCTTAAATCTGGATTTGCAACAGGATAGTCATTATGTTTCCCGGAATTTCCTGCGCAGGGCACCAGAGACCGGTATCAGAGGTCTTATATATAAAATTCAATCGCTAATATCACGACAAAAATTGAGAGATTTATATGCTTACCTTATCTCCACCGATGATCAGCTGCTGCGAGAAGTGACCAGCATGAAATCAAAAGAATTTGAGCGAATTGTTAAACGTTTGAGAAATAATGTCCCAGCCTACAAGAAACTTACAGTGACCCTTTATTATTTAGGCGTTCCCCTGGATCAGTTGAAGGGTGTGATAAGTGATGCCCTGGGTTATGGATTGGGATACCATAGCAGAAAAAGCTGATGGAAGAAGGGGGAGGAAAGTAGGGAACTCTATTTCAGAAGCATAACATACCAAATCAGCATTCGGTTATAAGTTAGGTATTGAAGTGAAAAAATTTAAAAATAAATGAAAATTATTTTATAAATGAAAATTATTTTATAACTTTGAAAATAAATCCTCTGAGTTGTTATTCTGCCCATAATGTCAGCAAAGAGCCCTTTAAGGTCCTCCACACATTTAACAATTCATTTGACCTCCAAACCATCACTGCTACCTCACTCTGTGATATTTTGATAAACAATCTCTCCCGGTTTCTACTCCCTTCCTCACGTTCCCCCCACCAAAGTGTCAAAATATTATCACAACAGCAAAACACTTTTCCCATCACTTTAGTTATTCTAAAACCCGTCAAAACATTTTGAATATTTTAACAACTAAATTTCCCGTGTCCAACCAACTATGGACTCACATTATCCCACCTCCCACGAGAGGGAGACAGATAAAAGTTTCTGTTTGACAGTAGTTTTAAATACCGTTAAATTATCAAATTTCTACGGAAGTCTGGCATGGCTTTTGGGTCTTTAAATATTTGTTTGAAATTGCAAATATCGGTCGTCGGTATGTCAATGTGTCAACGTCAAGTGCTATGAATCGGCTGTCGATTCATCGATGGTTGGTTGGCTGTTGGGAAGTTTTGAAAAAGTTGTCATCGCTGCCAGGATTTGGTTATTGGTGTTGAGATGTGAGAGGAATCAAAATTACACTATGCAACACAAAAATTCAATAGATTATGAAAGTACAGCTAAAAAGAGAAGACACGTGTATCGGCGTTTTGAAAGTTTAGCTCGAAAAGATACCAAAATAGAGAGGGACAAGCTTCCCCTCTCTTCCACACTTTTAGACAATTTCAAATTAAGGTTCCTCGGAACCCGTGTATTTTAAGTATATAGCGTCGTCGGCAATATTGCAGATAAAAATATGGGAAATATTTTGGTAGAAAATTTTAACCCTCCAGCGAGTCACCAAAGTGGTCTTTTTGACTCTTTTTTACAAAAATTGGTTAAAAACTCCTTTTAAATGGCATCGCAGCAAGTAAAAATATTCTACAAGATTATTTGTCATAAAATTCTGCTATAGGTTCTAGATTACGTCAAGAGTAGAGCTTTTGTAGGCTTGTAAAAAATATAATGAGTTGTCACTGGGTTAATTTTAACAGCTATCGGACGAGCGGCTTAGAAATGACAGCAGTCTGAAATTGGTTGCAGTTTTAGGGGTTAGAACCGTACTTACTGTGAGTTTGTGCAAAAATCTCCAACAAAGCACCATTTTAGAAGGATAAAGTCAACGACAAAAATATTCTCCATCAAATTTCACTATAAGTCACCAAAGAAAAGAAATCTCTATTTCCACTCAATATCAAAAAAAAATATTTGCATCAATGTGCCAAAGAAAAACCCATGAAAATAATCCCTAATTTATTGATCAATTTTTTCACTGACTTTTTTCGAATTTACGCCTGAAGGTGACATATAACTTAATTGTAGGCAGAATTTGTCAAAAACAAAAATATTCTCCATCAAATTTCACTACAAGTCGCCAAAGAAAAGAAATCTCTATTTTCATGGAATATCAAAAAAATATCTGCATCAATATTCCAAAAAAAAAAAAAAGAAATCTTTCCTTCATTTTTGAGCTATTTTCCCTCGGACT